GCAAAGCTAGCGTGTATAACTAGTTATTGTTTAAGAAAATGGTATCGGATCGGTACGTGGATAGAAGTACTCGCCGATACCGATGCCAGAATTTTTATTGGTATCGGCGGCATTTCCGATACTAGTATCGGAATCGGAACAACTCTAGTTTTGGCCTATAAAAATGTGTCATCCTTGCAGAACTCTGTAGTGTTATTGTGAGTAATTTTAATGACCGATATCTGTTCCCTTATGCACATGGAATGATGTTTTGGTCCTGATGTATTGGTGACCATGCAGTTGTTAAAGGGTAACTCAACCCCTGGTCAGAGCCTGACTCCACCCACTGGCAATATTTGAAAAATGCTGGAAAAGTGGGCAGAGTCCAGAGGAGGGGGTGCGTGCACCTGAGCAGGATCAACTTTATGACTCTCTATGGGCTTCTCCCTTGACTTTATCCCTCCACGTCCCCCGATTGCCCGCGAGCTTCTCCTCCTGTCTATACGGTAATTTTCTACTGTGCGACAGAGAGTCGTGTGGTTATGACGCAATCGTTAGCCTATTTTTACAAAAACTGCTTCTACAGGGCCATAACGTAAGATACAAGATAATGGAGCCTTTTATACATTGTCGTGTTTCTTTAGAAATAAACAATGGAGAAATGGAGTCTTTAAACGCCTCAGATGTAAAGTTATTCTCTGTCAAAGTGACAACAAAATGAACGGGAGTCAATGGAATGCTAACAGCAGGTGATGGCTTGCTTAACCAATGGCGGCCCCCAGGGAGGCTTCAGTTTCCGTCTGGTGGATTACCCCCTTGCTTTTTACACCATATATTGTAGAATTAAAACAATTTAAAACCAAATGTCAAAAAATGTACTCGAATCAATGAACAGCATTAATAAAGCCCCAGTCTTACAGATCATTAACTAAAAAAAGTTGTTTTAGGGTTTAGTTACCCTTTAAAGCAGTTGTATTGTGTCCTCCAGGCCTGTGGCGGCTCGATTCAGACCAGTGTTGGTGCCCTGACTGATGATGTGCTTGGACTGTGTGAGCTCTTTGAAGAAGTGCAGGTTGGAGGAGAAAGGTATGTTTTATTTCTTTTTACGTTAATACAAGATGTAATTATGTCCATAACACGAGAGATTTTAATTTGATAAATTATTTCACATAAACATTTTCCATACTAACGATGTGTATTCCATTACAGATACAATGTCTTTAAAGGCTGCCCGAAAGCCAAGACCTGCACCTTCATCCTGAGGGGCGGAGCAGAGCAGTTCATGGAAGAGACAGAGCGCTCACTGCACGATGCCATCATGATTGTGCGCAGAGCGATCAAGGTGGGGAAAACTTAAGCATCTCTTGCTACAGATTATTACAACTGCAGATTTGATCTTATCCTTGATTTCCTTTGGCTAGTTAGTAGGTCTTGTGGGGAAAGACTGCTGAAAACATTGTATTAAGATAACACTTCAAATTAGCATTAAAATCTTAAAAATTATGACGCATTTTGTCTTATCAGCCAAATCAAAGCTATTTTTGCAATGCATGTTACAGGGTAAACAAATAGCTGTTGTCTCTTTTAAGAAGGCATTTGGCTGTTGATTGAAACGCAGGACTTACATTCCTACAACCACTATATTGAGTTTCTCCCATTAATTTGTTTCCCCGAATTGTCCATCTCCTTCGCATTACATTCAGCTGATATGAGTTTACAGAAATGATCAAATGCTCAATTATGTACTACTAAACATGTACAGTTAATAATAATAAAAACATGAATTCAGAGGGATGCTAATGAATTCAGATTAGGGGTGGAACGGTACGGGCGTCACGGTTCGGTGCACGAATTTACACAGAGAATACACGGTATAAAAATAAATAAAACTCGCGTGCAAATTAATTAATGTAATGCGGAACTACTGTTAGATATGCGGGTTCTTTAGGGACACATAATCTGTACCATCGGCTTAGCTCTAAGCAGGCGTTCACTTCAAACGTTGGCTTTATACGCGCGTCCTATTCGCTTTGGACTAGCGTCGAACTAGACGCGATAGACGCGAATTTGACGCTCTATTCGCGTTTGGTGTCACCGCATAATGAACAGGCTGCAGGATTTCTTTATACAGAAATCAATTATTTATAATTCAGATGATAATAATGTTACATTGTTAATTAATAATGTTAATTAAAATTAAGGAAAACAAATATATTGATCTGAAATATAGCAAATTAATTTGAAATTAATTCAGGTACAATTACCAAACATATCGCAAGGTCTTTTTGTCTTTTTATTAATTTAATGAATTAACTAATTATATAAAACTATTGTCAGTGCACTACAAATAAACTGGTTCTATGCCTTAATAAAACTTATTTAAAAAATACAATGCCTTCTGCGTTTTTGTTTTGCTTTTCCCTCCATTGTACCGAAATCGTACCGAACCGTGATGTCTGTACTGTTCCACCCCTAATTCAGATGGATGCTGATTCCCAATGTATAGTGAGCTGAATGACATGCAAGAGCACTAATGTCCTCATTAACTCTTACCTGCCATTGATGGAATTTTCGATTCCACATTTCCCTGACAAAAAGGAAAAATTCTCTGATTATTTATTTTTTTATGAAAATTGCCCTCAAATATTGATTTAAAGAAAGCATGAAGCTAGAATACACCTCACGATATATTCAAATATGTTCAAATATGCTTACAACAAAATGTTCTGGTGCCCATGAAATTGTGCAAAATGATCAAAAATGCTGGTAGGGAATCATGACATGCTGACATTTCAGAAAGTTTTAAGAACTGCCAGCAGGGGGAGACAAATTGAAATATATAAATGTATATTAACTGGCTCCTATTTCCCCATGACAGAATGACTCAATTGTTGCTGGAGGTGGCGCTATTGAGATGGAGCTTTCGAAGTATCTGAGGGATTATTCTAGAACAATTCCTGGGAAGCAGCAGCTGCTGATCGGAGCCTATGCCAAAGCCCTGGAGATTATTCCCAGACAGCTGTGTGACAATGCAGGCTTTGATGCTACCAATATCCTAAATAAACTGAGGGCCAAGCATGCACAGGTAGCTACACAAGTCATTCTTGATCATGTTAATTTAATGTCATGTTTTTATGTAATGTCAATGTTGTAATGTACATTTGCATAATCTCCCTCTCCTCTAGGGTGGCATGTGGTATGGAGTGGACATAAATAATGAAGACATAGCGGATAACTTCCAAGCGTGTGTATGGGAGCCCTCTGTTGTGCGTATCAATGCCCTGACCGCTGCCTCTGAGGCCGCGTGCCTCATCCTCTCAGTAGATGAGACCATCAAGAACCCTCGCTCCTCTGCTGACGGCCCTTCAGCATCTGCTGGCAGAGGAAGAGGTCGTGGTAGACCCCAACATGCCCACTAATCCACACCCATCCAGCAGTGTCTTGGGCAGAGCCTCTGGACTTTCAGAAGGTCAAAACAAATGCTGTCCACTTATAGGGCCTTGATTTGTTTCTTTGACCTGTTTTGTTACTCCCTGGCCCCACTAAATCCATGCATTTCTGTTTACAAAGGCTTAAACAGAATAAAATGTCATTTTTGGTAACTGTTCTAGATCGATGGGGATTGAATCATCTGTTGGAGATTTGAATGTTGTTTTGCCATAGTCTGAGAACACACGCAAACCATACACGCACTCAAAAAAGTGGTCAGTTTGTAGATCTGTATAAGCACTGATATAATGCAGGCTCTCTGCTGTGATACGTTCCTGTGTTGGTCATTCGGTGGAACTATTTATTGGTCCAATTAAAATCAGTACTTTTGCTTCTCAACATTTGTGAGTTTTTCTTCTTTCAGTCATGAGTGAAGTGATTATACATCAAATCAGGGAAACATTATACGAAAAATAACTTTATTTCCAGTCATTGTGATTAGAATACCAAGAGTTTCACAGACATTGTGTTGTGTGATTTAACCCCTAGCTTGATTCCCTTATGTCGATCTGATGTTCAGCATATTTGATAGGAAATTTAACATCTTTGAAGTTTGAGGGGGAAAAAATACAATCCCTTTGGGTTTCTTATGTCCTGATAGATGAAAAGCCAACAACATTGCTTTTACAAAAAAGATGTGAATGATGTGAAAAAGAATGATATTTCAAATGTCATTGATAAATGTTATAATTAAAAGTGTATACCAGGCACATATAAAAGAAAAAAAAGAAACTTATAGACAGGCTTAAACGTTTAGACCTGGAATAATTTAAAGTCTAGAGAGGTAGTGTTTCATTGACTTAAGCAATTTTAATTGTGCTGGAAGAACAACCTAAAAGTCCCTTAAAAGATTTTTCATGCAGCAAATAAGTAAAAGTATGATTACAACCAGGCAGGAAATAAAATGTCTACAAATCGCATTTGAAAATATAACTACCTGTTTTGTACCTAGGAAATCAGAAAACTAAATTTCTCTGCTAACCAAACTCCTTAACATCATTCCAAATGATTACACTTCCTCTTCTTACCTCCAGGTGGTGCAACCATAATTTATAAACAAGATCTGTCTTGATACAAGTGTAAAATGAATACATTTTGGTTATAGAGTATATGTTTACAAAAATAAAAATTAAGTGGCTTTATTTGATAAATCAATTTAAATACGAAGTGTCTGCAAACTTAAAATAATATGTCTGTTTACTGAATGCGTGACATGCTGGTAAACACCACAAGCAATAACAAAATTGGAACTACTTCCTCTGTTTGACAGGAAATGCATTTACAAAAATTATGCCAAAAATGGAAGCTTGTTTGATGATAACTGTAAATGCATTTCCCGTTATGTTTTACTCATTGAAGGTCTAATTAAAATAGTCTGTTGCTCTTGACATAATTGAGATTTTCATTACTCATTATTATCCAAAGCTTACAGTACACATATAGAGACTGTACTCATAGCTGATGCTTTGCACGATAAAAACCGAATCCCAATAACATTCCAGTTTATCATTCAGCCCTTCAGTTTTCTTAAGTATCCAGATGTTAAAACTCAAAGCTGTTATTTGAGATAATTTTTTGATGAGATTAGCTGTCGTTAAATGTCCCTTCGCATTCTACAAATTCCAGTTCTCTCCAGAAACAGCATAGTAGGATCAGTTGGACAGGAAATCAATTGATGCCTGCACCAGTCGGCCGGTTGCCACATCAACAGCTGTGACTTTGATCTCAGTGTCTCCAAACTGCATGGTAGTGCGAATCTCCCTGCGTTCAAATGCGGATCCTTTATCGTTTTCACCAGCATTAGCTGCCGCTGCCCCCGACTCAAGCAGGTCTAGCGTGATGACACCACACTTCCTCACCCCGAGGTCAGTAATGTAGGTTATTTCATCAGTGTCGCTGCAGTAGATGTTGATTATGATCTTCCTTTGTCCTATTCTTGCTGGAGTGTAGCTCCGCCTCACCACCTCACCCAAAGCCACCGATTGATCAACACTAACAAAGCGGTCCAGGATGTCAGTGCACCATTCTCGGCCATCTTTGATGAGTAGCTTGTCACGAGGGTGTCGACCTCCCACAAAGCGGTTCAAAACTCCAACACCGTAAGTTAACGGGCAACGGCGTACACGGACAACAGTGGGGTCTAGTCCAAACAGGACTGCACCCTTCAGGATGGTCAGACCTACGTCATGTGGAATTATGATACGGCAGTTCCGCCCTAGTGCGTTCTGGGCTGCGCGTTGAAGCATGGGCGACTCTGCGAATCCTCCAACCAAGAAGAGAAAACGCACACCCTTTACTTCTTCCTTCTGCATCAGGTTCTCTGGTAGGATGAGAGAAATCGATAAGATATCAGAGAATTAAATACCGATCCCTGGCTTAGTGTTTGATTGAGAGAAGTCTCTTACCAATATGTTTGATGATGTTGTTGATGGTCGGCTGAAAAAGCTCATTCATGGCCTCTGTAGAGAATCTCAGCATCCCTTGAGATGACCACTTTATAAAATTCATACTGACAGAAACAACACAAAGTTAAAGCATAAACACTCACACTTTCATAGACATAATTTAGCAAATAAAGTTCTCAATGAGTCAGACTTACTTGCTCTTGCGCAGGGCAGTCTCCACACTCTGCCCCCGGTGTCGTTTGTAGAAGTCAATGAAAGAGAAGGGCAGTAAGATGTTTAATGAGTTGGCCCGGCCAGGGGCTGCTGTGCGCTTACGGGCTTCAAATGCAATGGTGAGGTCTACCCAAGCTGCTGGACGTTTTGCTTTAAAACTCTCAATGAAGTCAGCCCCAAAGATCTGGCACAACATGGCCTCAAATGCAAGATCCACTCCAACTGCTCCATAAGGACCCCCTGAAAGGGAAATATGTATATGTACCATTTAGGTTTAGGTTGCATGCCACTTGATTTGCATGTTCAACACATTTTTCTTCAGGGTCCTAAACTAAAACCTTTGGAGTAACCGTGATCAATCAAGACGACCTTCAGCATCGGATCTTTTTCAGGATTGGAGTGAAATGACAGGGCATGGCTGAAGTGAATATCAAGTTTGACATCTTTGATTCCATTCCATCATTAGTGATAAACATTTTGGCTAGTAGGATGTGCTCCTGAATTTGTTGGTTTTGGAAAACATTCAAGTCATTTCCCTTGATAAGAATATAGTTTGAACCCCAACTCCAGAGCACCAAGCCTAACCCTTCTCGTTCCCTTAAACCAGGGGTGTCCAACCCTGATCTTGAAGGACCCTTTGAATGCAGGGATTAGCTCCAACACACTAGCCTGTCAATGGGCTCTATGCATGGCGGTATTTCCGGTGAAGGTCTAAGGATGCTGGATTACTTCCGCCGATCGTAGAGTCCAATGCTATTCTGAGAATTTATATTGGTTTTTATACTCTATTGCTATACTAAAGAAACGTTAGTCACAAAAACAGACAAAACAGACACCCCTCATTTTGTTTATGCTTCTTTGTTTATTATATTGAAAAAACATAACTATATATAAAATTACATCTAAACGTATTAAAGTTTCATTTCAAAGACGAGAGGACAGTAAATTTTGAAGACTCTGCCATAATCCCGTTTTCCTCGGTTTTCCTCCGCTTTAAATCTCCCCAACGGGAAACGCACGAGCATCCTTGCGTCAAACGCGGAACTTATGCGTGCATATAGCCCATTTCTATAGATCCTGAAGACATTGATTATCTGGTTCAGGTGTCTTTAATTAGGGCTGGAGCTAAGCTCTGGGCGAATTTAAAAAACGGCTTTTTTGCACCTTTGAAGGGAACTTCGGGAAGGGGACGCCATTTCTAGGGGTGTTCCAAACAAAAGTGAACAACTGAATATCTTCACGATGGCCCCTTTCACAAGTCTGTTAGTGAAGGGAACATGCGATGGTCACTTCAAGAAAGTAATTTAATCGTTTATGGTCATGTGGCCCAGGGTGACTAGTCCTCGCGATTCATTTTAAATCTAGATATGGCGGGAGGGTTGGAGTTAACGTATAAACAGAAGAATTCAAGTTGTTTTGTTGTGATGAATCACACACATTTTCGTCATGCATATTGTTTAAAAAAAGTTTCATAGGTAAGAAGTGTGTTTAATGCTTAAAGGGGATGTCTAATGCTATTTCATGCATTCTGACTTATTTACACTGTTAAAGAGTTGGATTCTCATGCTAAACATGGCCAAAGTTTCAAAAAAAGAGTTTGACGTATGACAGAGTTTTTCTGTGCCAAATTCACTCCTTCAGGGTTACGGAAGCCGTCAGAAGCCGTCTGCACGGCACGCCTCCAGGAGCTCGGCTGTTTTCAGAAAGAATCGGTGCACCGTATTTGTCTTTTATAAATCTGATAAAACTAAAGACTCTTCGGAGATATAAAGGATGCAATACTTGTCATGATTCTGCCATCATGTCTTTGATTTCTCTAGTCTTGTGGCAGGATCATGACAGAATCATGTTTTGTGTACAAGCACATGGCCTTTTGCTTGGGCCATGTGCTTGTGATGTCTTGTTACGTAACCCCGCCCCCTTGTTATCCTCGTCTTGTCATTATTGTCTAGTCAGTTTCACCTGTTCGTGTCATTAGTGTCTCCCTATATTATCCCCTTGTGTTTGCTGTCCTTTGTCGGTTCATTGTCAAAACTGTGTCAAGATCCTTGTCAAACTTTCTGTGAATCTTGTCTATCGTATCAAGCTGTGAGTACCTGTTGACCGTCTTGTTTTGTAAAGGTTTTTATAACCTGTCTTGTTTTGCCCCATCGTGGGTTTTGTTTTCTGTTTTGTCATCAATAAACCCCGTTTTGAGTTATTTGCTGTCTGCGCTTGGGTTCGTTCCTCCAACCACGTGACATTACTACTCTACTCAAGATTAACATGAGATTGGCAGAAATTGCGTTTGTTACGCCCCCTTTAACTTATAAAGTTAAGAGCAGATTGGGAACACACACACATATATAAAGCATATTAACAACTTAATTATAAATGTACATTTATTTGTATCATTTTAACAGAAATAAGACATTCATGTTGTCACTGCCTAGCATTGTCGTGTTAACATTCCATGTGAAGCTAATGAGGAAATTACGTAGTCTTTCATTGCTCCCTTTGCCAAGTGCATTCCAAACGGCTTCATTACGACACAAGTTCCCTGCTGCCTTCAAAGTCCCCACTACAAGGGCTTTCCCCTTCGGAGTGAGTTGGGCATAGGGATGTTTACTTCTGATTTGCCCTCTGCTGGAAGGTGGCCCACCATGTGCAGGATTGGACCCCTCCTCCCCACCCTACCCTGCTTACGAGCACCCTTGATGTGTCTGTTTGCCAAGCCCACACTCATAGAAAACACTACCATCCATTCGGCACTATATCCCCTAAGTGTGGACTCGGAGGACAACATGGGTTTAAGGTGCCATCTGAGACAGGGCCGTTGATCCAAGAACATGTCCTAAAATCATGTACAACAGTTATTGGAATAAAAGTTGGTCAATCATTACGGTTCACTTCAGCAAGGCCCTATCATTTCACTCTAGTATTGAAGATCTTTGAGCTGAAGATGGAGTTGGTTTTGGTCCTCAACTAACCTGAGGCTTTGTAAAGCTCCTTTAGTGTGCCCTGTGGCTGCTCAATCTGATGCACCGTCAGATCCACCGTCCCACCGCCACAGTCTGCCACAATGTACCGATCACCTTCGAGAACATACATGGTTATTCAATCATGACGTAGTCTTTCTCATTACCTGCTTGTTACAGGATTTCCGAAGCAACAATAACACCCTGTTCTTACACAGTGGTGTAATAACTCAGTTTCATGGAAAATGGCCTCCTCTTTGTGAATCTATAAGCATGTGTGCACAATTAAGAACAGCACAAGACGTGAAAATGAAGGAGATCTGTATTTTTAGTAGTGTATGAGATAGATTGCAATAAACTCTCATTCTCTATCCCTCTCTCTCTCACTCTCTCTCTCTCTCTCTCCAGGAAACATCTGGAGCTAAAGATCTGATTATTTTGACCCCGCACCTTGTCATTGTGCCAGTCATGCAGAGAGAGCTGCATGCACACACACACTGCAGCCATGCGCTCAGACTGTGCAGCCAGTAATAACATACCAATGATTGCTCCATAATGAGGGTCTCTTACATATATGCACAGCAATTAGAGTCATATAAACAATATTATATGCTCATAAGGAACAAGAAAGTGTGGCTAAGGGAAATCATGTTTTAAGATAGGAAGGTTCCATCTTACGTGAAAACTTAAAGGGAAAAAAAAGTAGTGCATTACAATACTCTGGAAATGATTTCCCTGGAAAGTATTGTTATGGTCTATTTGTGGTTACTTGTATTATGATCAAAGAATAGAAAGAAAGACATATTCATGTTAAGCATCTTCATGTTTAATTTGTTACAGTGTCAGCACTCTATATGGCCAACAGACAACAGGATGTCAGTTTCCAATATACTTGTGTGTCTGAGGACAAAATTACTATGTAATATGTATTTATTGCCGCCATTGCCATTTAATTTATTGCAGCCATTATAACTTTAAAAGAATAGAAGTCTATTGTATGTCCTCGGTTTTATAGGTAAAGAAATGTGTCTCCATCTCTTACCTGTCTGCATCTCAGACCACAATTCTCCAGTACCACTCTCCACCAGAAAAGTTCGGCTATGTCTGGCTCTGCGGAGCTGCTCACGGGCTGAAATAAACATTGACTTCCTTTAGTCTATGAATCACTCACACATGGGCAGCATTAATCAAAGCCTTATCACATTAGAATCAATACAACTCACGGAGAGAACAAAAGAGAAAGGGAGAGATTGCAGATAGCTGGATCAATAATATGGCAGCCTGCTAAGCAGACCTTGATTTAATGAACCTAAAGCATTTGTTTGTAAAACACGCCTTCGAGATATGAGCGTAATTTACTTCAAGTCTTGCTCTTATTGTCATGTTTCAATGTGTTTAAGTTCTGTTTTGTAATCTGATTTCCCCCTGTATTTGTGATTTTGGTTTAGTCCTGTTATTAGTTCAGTTTTGAGATCTTGTTTCCCCCGTCTTTTGTGATTTTGGTTCAGTCCTGTTAGTTTTCCCGCTCTGTCTGATTAGTAATTCCCTTCACCTGTGTTCTGTTAATTATCCCATTAGTCCCTGTTCATTTAAGCCCTGTGTTTTCCCTCAGTGTTTGTTGGTCGTCGTCGATATGGTTGTGTGTTCTCTGAAGTCCTGGCATTTGTTCTTTTGTTCCTGTTTATTTCTGTAAGTTGAGTTTTTGTTAATAAATCAACTATATTGAAGTTCTCATGTCCTCGTCTTCGGCACCCAGCAACCCTGACACTATATACCTAATAAAACAAGCTTGTTTCATGGCTGCAGTTTTATAGCGGGTGCTTTTAGTGAATAATGACCTGCTAAACTAAGAATGATCTGCTTCACTTTCGGGGTTACTACGGCTATTCTGATTGCCATATTTCCCGAGGAACTCTTTTTATTGAATGTATTACTTCAAACATTTTCTTTTCAGGTAAAGTCTGTGAACACTAGAGAATACAGACATGCTGCTGAACATTCCCACAGCTTACAGCAAACACACAGAGAAGAGAAACTTAACTGCACTTTGGGGACAATCTGGAAACCATTACAATATGAAACTGCATTCAAACAAAGAGGGAAAAGTACAAATAAACTGATTCGAACTTTAATTACTCTTAAATCCATGTGGTTTCGGAAGAACAGAGACAGTGACTAATAATGTGTCTATTGTCTTAAGATGAGAGGACAGACAATGGACTAAATTTATTTGGACTAGTTTCTACCCCACACCTTTGACCGGAAGAAACTCTTTTAAAACCGACTTCTCACACTCGATAGTTTCACTAGTTTATTTAATGTTTCAGTTAACAGTGTTCAACAGTATACGTACAGGATCACAGGAGAATTCTGTCATAAGTATCATTTTAATTGTCACAATTGTCAAGTCATGAACATTTATATTATAGTTTTAAGGTAAGTAAATAGTTATAAGATTGGAAGTTTCTGTATGTTACGAGTAAAACAACAAAATCAATGCATAAAACGCATTGAAACAAATTTCAAAAGCAGCAAAAATTAGACATGCCAAAGGTTTTTCAGGAAACTTTGTCATCTTCATTAAGAAAAAAAAACAGGCCTGTTAGTGTAAAAAAAAAAAAAAAATCCATTGGAACATAAAAGTGGCAAAGCTGAAGTTTGTGTTTCTTGATTTCTGTGTACATGAACATTGTCCAATTGTAAAACATGTTTTGGAAGATTGCATTTTGGAACATACATACGCTCACATCCCTTTGAGCAAGCAAGCAAAAATGCAGGAAAGAATGAAAGAAAAAAATGAATTATCCAGGGAAACTAGTGTAAGCAGAGGGTGAGCTCATGGTTCGCAGCACCTTGTTTCAATTATAATGTGAAATGTGTGTGTATAAGTGTAAGTATATTTTGTTTGAGTGTAAAAGCAGGAATGAATGATAGTGTCTATGGTGCTTTATTTTTGGTTGTATATAAATGTGAAAAGAGTGTTTGTAAAAGAACCCCATTTTTCTTTTTTCAAGCAGTGATAACAAAAACATTGTCAATCTTTCAAAGAGTTTTTTTTTCAGCTCTGTGACCTAAGGGGACACTCTAACCTACGGGAAAATGTCATCTCGTTCTTGCTGTCTTAATCCAAACCATATGATCTCATAGTCACTAAGACCCACTTGGTTCTGGATCAATCTGACCCCGATCTAACTGTCCGCGATACATACACCCGCAAATAACCACACAAAACAAAAACAGCACTATATTTTCAAAGGGATGAAAGACAGTCCTGTATTCCCCATGCTTTAAGCATGGTTCCCATTTAATGTTTATAGAGAAATGTGATACACTCAAAGCAAGAGGTTTGGACTCCTTCCCAGGTTCAATCTGAGAGCGAGTGATACTGTATAATGCTAATTGGTTTAGAAGAAGAAAAAAAAAAAGTTCTTACCCTGCCTAAAACTGGAATCGAAAGGGCGGGAGCCATCTACATCTAAACCATTGGTTACTGGCCGTTGGCTGAGGTCAATGACCTGGTGTAGACGGAGCTTCCTGCAGTAGATGGATGCAGCCTCTGGTTCAAGAGCTATGAGGAGCTGTTCAGGAGAATCTGCAGCCACCAAACCTGCCTACAATAAGATACACAACATGAGCCTTAATTAATATTGAGTTAATATTGAGTAATATACACTTATCAGCAGTTTTAGGCAACACACAGAGTAGTGTTTAGTTCCTGAGTGAATCAGCATTTTTAACAAATCAGTTAAGTTCATATTTCAATGACTCACTTGTATAGACAGCCACTTGTTTTATTCCTGAATGAATCAGTATTTTAAATGAACTGGTTGAGTGAACAATTGAGTGGCTCACTCATACAGACAGTTATTTGTTTAGTTCCTGAATGAATCAGTTGAGTGAATGATTCAATGACTCTCGAATAGACAGTCACAGTCATTTGTTTTGTTCCTGAATTAATTCATGTTTTGAATGAATCAGTGAATAAATGAAAAATTCACTCATAAAGACACTTGTTTCCACCCATTGGCATAAGTAATGATGTAACCTGCAGAAAAAGTGACTGGAAAATCCCTTGTCTGGAGCAGGGCCGGCCCGTGGTATAAGTGACATAGGCGGTTGCCTGGGCTGCAAAATGACAGGGGGCGAAGCAACCTCAAACAAAAGCAAGAGCACCCTCATTTGATACTGTAATAATATCATATTGGCGAAACTGATTTGACAAAGGCTCCAGTGCGAATTTGTATTTGCGCTTTGGAGAGCGCCATAGGGTTTCTATTTAAGTTAGTCAGAATCCAGTGCTGAACTTTTCAGTGGTGACTCCGAGCCACGCTCGCAAATCCTCTCATTATAACAAAATGTAAATAACAGATTAATTGTGTAGTGTAGACAGCTTCACTGATTATAATGGAACTTTGTGACCGCATTAAACTGAGATGAGTGGTAGCTTTTTAGTGATTTTAAATGGAGCTTTGCCCGTGTTTCTGCCAATTAATATCCTAGTACTTTAGATTGCATTATGTTTACGATAACAATGTTGTCATCGATGAAAAAAAAAACATAATAGTTGACAACGATATGTTGGACTGATTTAAACACTGCCTGCGTCATGACGTAATTCTAATACATCAGCATAATCTGTTAATTATGCATGACAGCGCAATTACCATAGATATTAGTTTTGACATTAGCAAAACTGGGGAGAGTTGTCGTGTGGGGGGCACTATGTAAAATCTTGCCTAGGGTACCAAAAGAGTCTGGGCCGGCCTTGGGCTGAAGAAATTCAAACTGATCCAAACTGAAAAGTACCAGTGCTGTTGAACTGTATGGTGCATTGAGTTCTTTTGACTTGGGACAGTCAAACACCATAGCAATGCCTTAGCAACCACCCAGAACACTCTAGCCAACGGTAATTTAGTAAGCAATTTAGTAAGAACTCCCAGAACACCTTAACAACTCCATAGCAACACCCTGGCACCCATCCACTACACCCTAGCTGGCATCAATTAACACATTTTATGAGCATGCACTGCTCAAATTATTTTCAGAAAACTTAATGTAAACATAATGCTTCTACAAAATATAAACACCATGTTTAATGTACAATGGGCACTGGTGTCATGGTAACCAAAATAAATGGAAATAAGATTTCAGTATATTGAGAAAGTGTCAGTACACTGCCCCAGTTGGTCATGGAGTTATGATAGGAGGTGGTGGGCTGCCTCGTTCCCCCTCTCTTGCTTGGCTGGGACAGGCGTGGTTTCCTGTGTTTGTGTGCTGTTCTCTTGCATTGTTTAACCTCTGTGACATTGCAAAGAGGAAATTAACCTCAACCTGCCTTACCTCTAGTAAGGTAGTTAGAGATAAAGATCCAGGGCTACTAGAAAAAGTACAGGTCTGACATGGGCCTGTTTAATATGTAGAGTTGTTGGCTGGTTTAGGTATAACTGTGGGGGGATTTCAGTGGTCTTCGAGTCTGAGCAGCTGGTAGTGATCGAATCAACAGTCTTTGCTCTTTAAAAGCGATCTCTGCACTGTTGATTGTTGTATGTAAAAAGAAACTCTGTGATTGATTTCTTAGTGTTTTGCTCATAAGGAAATGTACAAGTCTGCAATACTTACATTTCACACACACATATTTAATGGATATCAGGTTATAGTCCCCTCTTGGCACACTATTTCTCTCCACTCATACAAAAGTCTTTCAACATTCCCATTTACTGTAGTGACTATTGCATTCCTTTTCATACGCGCACATTTCCTGAACTGCACTTGGGGGCTTAAGGACATCACATTGAATGTGGGAGTGTGCATTTGTGTATGTGTGCATGAGAGAAGAGAGAAAGAGAAAGAGAAAGAAAAAGAGAAAGAAAAAGTAAGAGGAAGAAAGAGAAAGTGTGTGTATTTGATTGGTCATACTTTATAGTTTAGGGTACAATTCTCACTATTAACTAATTAGTAACTATGACTTTTTCCTTAATAAACTCCTAATTACTGCTTATAGTTATTAAGGTAGTTGTTAAATTTAGGTATTGTGTAAGATTAAGGGATGTAGAATATGGTCATGCAGAATAAGGCATTAATATGTGCTTTATAAGTACTAAAAAACAGCCAATATCCTAGTAATATGCATGCCAATAAGCAACTATACTTTAAAGTAAGACTATTTAAATTTGACTCTAAACTAAAGTGTTACTATATTTGATTATGTGTAATTTTTCGTATATGTAGTGGAAACTGATCTCAGATCACTTATGCTACATTACCAAATAGGCAGCTTCTCGCATGAACTGCTTGGCTGGCTGCCGCCACACCGCAGGAACAGTGATGACCCATCGTACTTCATTACTTTCCAGCACAGAGGAGGACTGGTCCTTCACCTCCTGAAAAGCACACACACACACACACACATATTACTACATTTTCCATCTCTTATCCAAACTACATTCCACAGATAACATTTTCATACTTCTATTAGTTATTGATATCCCTTATTTCCGTTCCCCTCTAAAATGTACTGTGATGTGTCGGACTCAAGACACTCAGGATGCATAGCCGGAGGTTTGGTAGAAATCTCCATGCTAGTGTTTTCCCACAAGCCTTCAGGGGCTCCAGGAAACAGGAGGAAGAAGGTTTGGGTCCAGCCAAGACTGACTACAGATTAGCCCAGAACCTCCACCTCCCCTGACCCCCACTGTTCACAGAGACTGGATGTGTTCTTGTTTGAGTAAAGGAAAAGTACGTCCTGAAAGATTTGGACCAAAGCCACAGCACACTACTGCTCTACATTACACTGGTGGTTCATGTTCAGTCTGGCCCTATATGGAGATTTATATTGTACAACTAAGATAGGCCACAAATGCCTAAATAAGTGAAAGAATAACCAAGACAATAACAGCACTGGAAAAATGTGTTTCACAGATTCAAATGTTCAAATAATTAGTAAGTCAAATACAAAAAAGTCAAGTACAAAGAGGGTATATATTTTATTGATAAAATAAAATTTAAAAATGATATATTTTCAGAAATTCTATAATTAATATCCATCCATTCTCTTGTCCTATGTAGGGTCATGGGTATGCTAGAGTTCATACCAGCATGTTGGGCCAAAGGCTAAATTTCATATATAATTTCGGTAACACTTTAGAATAAATCATTAGTAACTATGCAGGAAGTAATGCAGGATAAATGAGTAGTACTACATTAACACTTCAGCTACTACGGTTAACTAATAAGGAATTAAGCTTATCTAACCAGTTAATAATATCACATTTAGGACTGAGATAGTTCCTTATTAGGTAATCAATAATTACTGAATGAGATTAGCCTAATTTATACTATCAACAAACTATCAACTTAACCAACTAACTATGACAAATTATAAAGAATTACCAATTAATTATTAATTACTCTGTAGGAAATATTAGTGAACTGGACCATTATTAAAAAAAAAAATTTCCCACTTATGTATAAATAATGGTTCAGATAAGTAGCTCTTAACGATGGACTTAGTGATGCATTTTATAACAATATTCAGAGTAAAACAGACAACTGATTACATCTCAGACACGTTAATGTTGTGATTAATAATTAATTGGTAATTCTTTAAGGAACTATCTTACTCCTAAATTTGATATTACTGAGTTAAGCTTGTTTCCCTAGTTAACAGTAGCTACTCATTTTGTCGCTGGAGCAGTAGATATAATATGTGTGTGTGTGTGTGTGTGTGTGTGTGTGTGTGTGTGTGTGTGTGTGTGTGTGTGTGTTGTGTTCACCTTTAAAGCATGTTCTCTGAAGAACCTCAAGGCATGAGAAAACACCTCAATGGCCCGAACTCTTCTTCCACTTACTGACTCCAGCTCAGTCTCCATAGATAGATCCTATAGATAAGCAAGAAAGTCTGCTGCAGAAATGCTCACAGAAGTGTCATAAATAATCCACTCCCTTTATGTTATGCATCAGACAGATAGTAGATCCAGCTTCTTCTATTTTAGACAGTGTTGTGATACCTTATCAACAATGCTTGATGGATGCCCCTAAGCTGAGCACTTACTCTACCTGAATAAATTCTACTATAAAAAAAACACAGTCAATAAAAAGTAGATATTGTGTTTACACTGGTGCTGTGGATTTTCATTTTGAATTTGTCAAAGTAGAGCCAATGCCCGGCCTCCTCTGGGTCAAGGTCATGGTAGCTGTCTCGAGCTGCAAAGCCAAAACTGTGGAACCGGAGGTCAGGGGTCAACAGCAGACAGGTTGGACTCTTCTGATTGGCTACACCAGGGTCACCACCCTCCCACCGCCTGTTAGAAAAACAGGGAGAAATCTAGGGTAAGAAATGGGCGGGGGAGCTATAAGACCTTATAATAACTTCAGGTTACAGATCAATACATAAATACTTCATCATGTGAATGGTCTCAGGATCTTCTGTGAAACTGAAGGCATAGCCACTGGAGGTGGTGCCAAAATCTATGGCGACCACCACAGAAAATGGACGAGCCACACACGGTCTCAATTCTGTCCTCTACAAAGAGAAAGAAGGGGAAAAAACAAGGTAGACAGAAAGAAAATAAATCTATTGCCTTATAATATTTTCAGAAGGGTGACTTTACAAAAACAATTCTCCCTGGTACGGAGAGTAACTGACTCCACCTTCTGCCTCGCTCCTCTTATCTCTAGATCATTTCCCTGACCTGAGTGTTACATTGACTAAACACATCAGAAGGGAGTGTATCATGTATCACTTTCAGCTTATGTTCATGCCAGTAATTTTTAGTCCATTTAAAGGTGATTTAAGTGTGTGTTTAAAAACGCGAGACTCAGGACAGTGGAACGAAAAAAAGCAAAGTTTATAGAAGCATTTAGAAAGCTGTGTCATGAGCAAAGAGCCACAATACGCAAGTACAACGGGCAAACGCGTACGTCTAGCACATGTTTACATCGAAAAACAATGGAAGGGTAGAGCAGTGGAATGAAAAAAATTAAGGCGACATTCAAATCGAATGCGATTTTGCGCTTAAATATGCGAGAAGCACAACAGTGGAATGAAATAACGCAAGGTCCGTTTGTTTTTTAAGAAGAAGTTGATCTTCTTGTGTTTTTAGACATGAACGCAATGGTCCAAAACATCAAAAAATATGGATAGCAGAGTACATGCACACATTCGGTAAGTCCACAAGTGTATTAAGTGTGCCATTTGGGACAGGGCCATTGGGTCAACCAATGGCATGAGTTTGAGGCAAGACTATTTGTTTGTCCAACCAACGGCAGACAGAGACTTTGAAATTATTTTTGCAATTCGATTTTGTGACACTAGTGGCGCTGAAATGACAAACTTCACCTTTAAGTGATTAAAGTCGGCTTTCGAAGGAAACATTTTTGTGTGACCACAGATTGCAGTGCACTTTAACTGGAGGATGAGCTAATGATAGTGCTGTTTTCAACCAACTGACTGAATGCTAAGTAAAGAAGCATAATTGCATATTTCTGGTGGGACCACATCCTCTTTTAACATTACTGTAGTTTGAAGCATCTGTTTTTTTGGCATTTAATCCAAGTTTATCATATAAAGTGCTAAAGAGAGAGGACTCTGTCTGTCATGATCTTACCGGAGAGGGAGAGGGAGTAAGAGGAGTGATACTGCACTCATTTCTGGAAGGAGATGGAGAACCAGATGGAGATGTAGAGGCTGATCTGTCAATACCTGAAAAAGAAGAAGACAAGATGAAAAGATTGATTGAGGGATAAAGGGAGAAATCCTATTTACATGAGTTGCTCATGCATTGAACTGGAAAAAACAAGAACAGCACTCCTTGTATGTAATAACACCGGAGTGGCTGAGCAATTAAGAGAATTCAGGCATTTCTGGAAAATTCCATATTGGTGGCCTGAGCTTTTAAGCCCAACTGGCATGTGTTTAGCAACATCAGAATTTCCAATGGATGGTTTTGTTAGGAAAAATTCTGTCACCTTAAATGCTGGCAGACCTTCTACCTTTATAAAAGAAATACATATAACCTAAATTTCAGAAGTATTTAAAGCTGCAATGAAACAGAAGTAGTGACAGTCCAGTCCAGAACTTAAATTCAATTACGGGGTAATAACTAGGTACTAACCCTGAATCTTCCCCCAAACCTAACCTAAATCCATGTAGTTACCTTCAATTTCCAGTACTTTCATAGATAAGTACACTGTAAAGTACTGTAAAATAAAGTGCAACTGATCTTTTCCTCTGTATTATGATGTATATATCGAAGTGAAACGGCTGATTGAAAAAATAAAAAAGTAGGGCAGGGACTTGGTTCTATATTAGCTATTGATTGGATTTTAAGATGTGCTGGAGGCAGATCTGAATCCCAGCTTCTAGTCGATTGTGGACTTATGCCACCATTATGTCATCAGAGAGAAGTTTCACCGGAAGATCGAGTTGACATTTTGATTAAAAATTACAATGAAACATCTACAGGGACGAATAATTTACAATCAGATGATTAACAATTTTAGAAAATAGATGATAGACTTTAAAACCTGGACAATTATATCATTCTTTCAAATAGCTTACATTTGAAAGCTGTTTTCTATCCTTATCTAACACAGGAGTTATATGCGCATTCTGTGTTCTCTTCAACAGTGTCATCATGTACACTCAGCATTAACACTTTGATTTGTGGTGTCTCATATCTGTGGCAACACTGGCAGCAAGGAATTTCAGGAGCAGAATTCCAAACATTCATAATTCCTAACACGGTCAAAAGTGTGCGTATGACATTTTTCCAGGTCAAAATGAATTCCATGGCAAGTGCTATCAACATGGATTGACCTCTTCCAGCAAGGTCACTCTAATATGTTTTCAAACGAGCACACACTCAAACATGGGTGGAATTCACTCAAGAGTATGACAGGAATGTTATCGACATGTGATATTCTCAAGAGTGCAGAGCGTAGATAAGAGAGGGTCACACCCCAGTCCAGTATTGTTGATGGCATAGACAGGAATTACAGCATAATTCCTGTGGAAATGTGTGGATGATCACAGGTTTCAATTCAGCTTTACATTTTGGACTCCACATCTGCTGTATATAAATTCTGGTTGTATACTGCAAAAGTACTTGTTCAACTATTATAACCTAAGTTCCCCTAGAATATTACACAGATATTATTATTTTTTTCATCCAGTCTTAATTTGAAGTATCATATCCCACAGAATAATTTTAATGAAATGTTACCTGGCACTTGTAGACAGTTGGTACTGAGCTGCAGGACGTCTGTCATTGTAGAGGTCCCAGGGCTTTACAGCATAACAGGGAAAGAATAACTCTGAAATGTGAAGCAGAGTTTAATTATTAATATTTGACCATTTTTCTTTCATGATGTAAAATGGTATATAGACTCAAGATAAATTTATATTTTAAATTACATTCAAAGAAAAATTCCATTGTAGAAACTTATAAAAATGATGTTGATGATGATTAATATATGTACATGAATTCAAGGTTTTAGGAAAATATGTTATTTGATTTTAATTCATGAATATTCCAGATTACATTTTGGGCTCAGTATAAATATTTTTCAAAAGAACCATAAGAAATCAATATGAATACATCTTAGATTGCATTTCTTAGAATGTGGCACATGTTTTAAACACTTTTAAAAAAAAGAAAAGATTTTGTCATTGACCCTCATAGACATTTCTATGAACTATAAATCTATATTTTTTGTCTCTCTCTTTCTGAAACCTATTAGGACGTCCCAGCTGCAGCAACAAAAGCATGACATGATTGTGTTAGTGGGTGTGTATTAATCATGCTGTTTCCCAAAGCTCTTGGTTGGGCTCTGTTTTCAGACTAAATGATCTGAAACCGAAGAGAAACACAATAAACACAGAAATGTGTTAAGCAAATGCTGTTAAATGCTAGTCTGATATCACACAAGTACTATAATTCTGTGTTTAGTTTACAATACAATGGATTTACAATAATTTCTTGTATCTGATGAACACAGAGGGAAAAATGAATGTGGTGCTTTCTGAAATTCAACCTCATGTCCCCCTACCCCCAAAGTGTTCCCCTTTCCCCCTATTTCCCCCATGCCTCTTGCCTTAATCTTTTCTTTGGACTCGTTCCCGTTTTCTTTTTCTTCCACTGTTACTTTCAAACTCTCTCAATGTTTGTAGATGTAGGGTTTGAGGGAAGCTATCCCTTAACTGTGTGCGTGCGTGCGTCCGTGTGTGTGTGTGTGTGTGTGTGTGTGTGTGTGCGTGATTGTGTGCGTGCGCGTGTGTGTGTGTGTGTGTGTGTGTGTGTGTGTGTGTGTGTGTGTGTGTGTGTGTGTGTGTGTGTGTGTGTGTGTGTGTGTGTGTGTGTGTGTGTGTTTGCGTGTGTGCTTGCTTGCGTGTGTGCATGCATGTGTGCTCAGGAGAGAAAAAGGTTTTTGGAAAAGGAGAAAAGGTGCAGAGGGAGAGGTGAGGGCCTCCCACAATACATGTTTAGTAAATGGATCTGACTGGAATATACTCTCCAGATGCTCAAATCTGAGATGTACCACATTTGGCATAGAACACTTTATATAGATCAAACTTGCAAACCTTTCCACAACAAAGAACATTTTTCAGAAATGTTCTTTAGCAGAAAATGTAAAACATAAAGACATTCGCAAATTTAAAAAGTAAAAACTTTGACATTTAAAGAACCCATTGAACTTGATTGCCTTTGAATATGATTTATCACTGCCTCTCCATATGGTATCAGACACACTTCATACAGATTACACATGACATCACAGCGGCTTTCTGGCACTGAGGCTGAGTCATTTAAACAAAGAAATGTTTCTTTATGCTTTTTCTACCTGTTTTGCACAGGTTGTTGTTTGAGCCTATGCATAATTTACAGCATTCACTTATAAAGTTGTGCACTTCAGCAATATAAGAAAACTGTGTATCCCTTATTTATAGAATACAATATGTGATTTGATTTAATGTTTTTGTATGTCTAGTCTTCCTCCTACTCAATGTATTTACCATCACCTTCATTATGAACTTCATCATGATTCTTTATGAATTTAAAGCTTCTGTCTGCTCCAGTGAGACATTTCAGTTGTTTAACTAATAGTCCCTCTTTATATTTCACCATCCATAAGCAGTTTGCACATTGTCGACTGCCACTGAAAATAATTTCAGCTTGTACCTTAGTTCGTTAAAACCACAAACACACATCTTGTTTCCTCCGAGAGTTTTCTAGGAAAATCTTCCTATTAATTTCCACCCAAGAGCTACTTGTGACACAGCGACACTTTGCAGAAGCTGAGGTCAAGCATGATGAATTACCGACCCCTTGTACTACATTACAATTATAGTCATTTTGGAGGATGTCCAAAGTCGTATTTCAATGTCTGTTAGGTAATTATGGTCAGCATGTCCACTAGAGTCCCATTTGTCTTTTTATGTTATACAAGAGCATCAAGTCACCCATCTCTCTTGAAAACACCCGACAATCCCACTCCTGTCAGTCATCACACAAACAAGACAAAGCACTGCACCTGATGCTGGTCCTATGAAACATTTCACTCTTTAGCACGTTAAATTTGTACTCACCCTTTTGTTTAGAATGTTCTAGTGTCCCCTGCCTGGGGTTGTTTAGTCCCTGATCAAAGTTCAAAATCCCAAAAGGAATTGGATGTTTCAGTAGCAGAGTCTATGTAATGATGCTGTTTCCCAACAGAAGTTTCAGACAAATGTCTGAAAGAAGAAAAGCACTGAAGGTTTGATCTAAAGTTGAAAAAAGTTTTAAAAGTGATCAGATCCAAAGAATATTCCACTGACTTTCTTTCTTTCTGTATCCCAGCAGTGAATCCGTCATCTGCAGTGGAATGTCAGGGAGGGATGGTTGAGAGAGCCGCACACACACACACACACACACACACACACACACACACACGCACATGTACAGGGGCTGGATATGAAGGTTTCTGTAGTGAAGGGGGAAAGGGAGGGGATCTGACTTCATACTGACACAGATTCAATCACTGTGTACCGGTGTGTTTGTTGGAGTGAGAGAGAGAGAGAGAGAGAGAGAGAGAGAGAGAGAGAGAGAGAGAGAGAGAGAGAGAGAGAGAGAGAGAGAGAGAGAGAGAGAGAGAGAGAGAGAGAGAGAGAGAGAGAGAGAGAGAGGGGTGGAGAGTATTTGGAGTGGTAGCGTGCACTGATTAAGTCATCCGATCCCCCCTCCCAATGTTTCCCCTCTTTTCCTTCTGCCCACCCCCTGCATCCAACTCTTTCTTTCCTCTCAGCTTCTCTTCCAGCTCGATCTTTTTTCTTGTCTTCTCTTCACTCTCTGTTTCCTTTCTCTCCCTAACAAAACTCTAAACTAACAGTCGGTTTAAAACAGTTTTAAAACATACATGCATACAAACAAATGCATTTTAGCTCATCGATGTTGCATTAGTTTGACCTGCTTATATTGTAAATGTTCATGAATTCTCATATGAGGTCTCATTTTTAACAAATGAACCTCTGCACAAACAGAACTACAGTTTTGCTTACACATAAGTCGAGGCCATGATTCTGGTGTGCATCGGTGGTTTGTGTTGTTTCTCTATGTAGCTGCTTAGGTGTTATGAGTGGTTTAGCCTGAGATGCTATGTGGTGGTTGTGATGGTTAGGGTGTAGATACATCATATAGTATGATTGTAATCCAGACATACTACATCTGCCATGTTGTCATTATCATGTGACCTACCAGCATCAGTTACATCACTTTACTGTCATTCACAAATTCACAAAATCACTTTACTTTCATTCTCCTCATGGGATAATAAAGTGTCTATCGTATACACACTTTAGAATAGTAGGTCATCATCCGGGTACTTTTTGCCTATACTCTTATCTATACTGTTAGTACTGTAAATTCAGACATGTTACATACTGTTTTTTGCCAACAAATGGTAGAAAGTATGCGATTTCGGATGCAGCCTTAGTTCTTTTTTTTATTCTTATTCTTTTTCAGTTTATTGATGGTTGGTAGACCAGTTTTTGGTGCATTACCGCCACCAACTAAACTGGAGTGTGAAGAATTTATGGGAAATATTTGACTCAAAAAAAAACAAACAAAAAAAACAACTATATTCTTAACGTACTTTTTGTTTCTTTCAAAAACCTCAAGAAGATTACATATTGGATCGGAATTCTCCCACGTTTTTTAGACAGAAGACTTTCTATTGACTGTTTTATTTTCCATTTCCTGCAGCTTATTTTTTAGAATTTGCCTTTCATTTTTATATGCCATGCATGCAGTGTTTTTTCTTAGTTCATCGGTAACAATGGTTTTTGATTTGCCCTCATGGGGCTCACCTGTGTCTTGTTAATTACCTTGTTTAGTCCCAATTGTGTTTCTTGCTGTATATATAGCCCTCATTTTCAGTTATTGTTGTCAGATCTCATCTCACTTTATGTATTGTTCTATTTTTAGCCTGAAGAAGTGTAATTTTGAGTTTATTTTCATTAAAGAAAACTGCTTGCAAATTGATCCATCCTTTTTGCAACCCTTTGCTGACTAACCAAAAGAAATGGATCTAGCAGCAGTTCAGATCCTCTTCCTCTAACAGGGGGATCTGTCCCTTGAGGAGCACACACAGAGGTTTCTTGATTTGGTCCCCTTCATGTCCCGTATCGGCCTGTGCTATCCACTTCTTCGGCCCTGTCTCCATAGACTCCGTTCAGCCCTTCGACTCATCATTTGCTGGCTCCACCTAGCAGCTTGGATCCGCCTTGGGCTTCCAATTCGCCAGATCTGTTCTGATGTGTCGACCCTCTAGCTGCACCGCGAGCCTCCAAGCCCACCACTCCACCTCGACGTGTCGACCGGTAAACTCTACCTGGGACCTTGTCCTTATGGCTCCATCTGGCTTCCTTGTCCCTCATGCTCTGCCTTGGACAGTCGTCACTCTGCCTTTGCCACGGACTTCGTGGCTTTCGTCTGCATCTCGGCCCTCCACGCCTTCAGTTCTATTGGGCTCCTTCCCTCTGGCCCCACCTAGTCCTCAGCTGCAGCAGCTCCAGCTCTATTCTCTGGCACCCTGGCTCCAGCTCTGTTCTCTGGCTCCAGCTCTATTCTCTGGCACCCTGGCTCCAGCTCTGTTCTCTGGCTCCACCTCTGTTCTCTGGCACCCTGGATCCAGCTCTGTTCTCTGGCTCCACCTCTATTCTCTGGCACCATGGCTCCAGCTCTATTCTCTGGCACCCTGGCTCCAGCTCTGTTCTCTGGCTCCACCTCTATTCTCTGGTACCATGGCTCCAGCTACATTCTCTGGCACCCTGTTTCTACCTCTATTCTCTGGCACCCTGGCTCCACCTCTATTCTCTGGCACCCAGGCTCCAGCTCTATTCTCTGGCACCCTGGCTCCAGCTCTACTCTCTGGCACCCTGGCTCCAGCTCTATTCTCTGGCACCCTGGCTCCACCTCTATTCTCTGGCACCCTGGCACCCTGGCTCCACCTCTATTCTCTGGCACCATGGCTCCAGCTCTATTCTCTGGCACCCTGGCTCCAGCTCTGTTCTCTGGCTCCACCTCTATTCTCTGGTACCATGGCTCCAGCTACATTCTCTGGCACCCTGTTTCTACCTCTATTCTCTGGCACCCTGGCTCCACCTCTATTCTCTGGTACCATGGCTCCAGCTATATTCTCTGGCACCCTGGCTCCACCTCTATTCTCTGGCACCCTGGCTCCAGCTCTATTCTCTGGCACCATGGCTCCACCTCTATTCTCTGGCACCCTGGCTCCACCTCTATTCTCTGGCACCCTGGCTCCAGCTCTGTTCTCTGGCTCCACCTCTGTTCTCTGGCACCCTGGATCCAGCTCTGTTCTCTGGCTCCACCTCTATTCTCTGGCACCATGGCTCCAGCTCTATTCTCTGGCACCCTGGCTCCAGCTCTGTTCTCTGGCTCCACCTCTATTCTCTGGTACCATGGCTCCAGCTCTATTCTCTGGCACCCTGTTTCTACCTCTATTCTCTGGCACCCTGGCTCCACCTCTATTCTCTGGCACCCAGGCTCCAGCTCTATTCTCTGGCACCCTGGCTCCACCTCTATTCTCTGGCACCCTGGCTCCAGCTCTGTTCTCTGGCTCCACCTCTATTCTCTGGCACCCTGGCTCCAGCTCTGTTCTCTGGCTCCAGCTCTATTCTCTGGCACCCTGGCTCCACCTCTATTCTCTGGCACCATGGCTCCAGCTCTGTTCTCTGGCTCCACCTCTATTCTCTGGCACCCTGGCTCCAGCTCTGTTCTCTGGCTCCAGCTCTATTCTCTGGCACCCTGGCTCCAGCTCTGTTCTCTGGCTCCACCTCTATTCTCTGGCACCATGGCTCCAGCTCTATTCTCTGGCACCCTGTTTCTACCTCTATTCTTTGGCACCCTGGCACCACCTCTATTCTCTGGCACCCTGGCTCCACCTCTATTCTCTGGCACCCTGGCTCCAGCTCTATTCTCTGGCACCATGGCTCCACCTCTATTCTCTGGCACCCTGGCTCCAGCTCTATTCTCTGGCACCCTGGCTCCACCTCTATTCTCTGGCACCCTGGCACCCTGGCTCCACCTCTATTCTCTGGTACCCTGGCTCCAGCTCTATTCTCTGGCACCCTGGCACCCTGGCTCCACCTCTATTCTCTGGCACCCTGGCTCCACCTCTATAAAACGGTGTCCGTGTAAACAACAAAAACGCAAATCTCTGAATACGATGCATATTAGATGTTTAGTCTATAGTGTTTCATCGCCATCTAATGGCCTGGCAGCAGAATACAGCGTTTTTAGTTGTTTTCTCGGATCCGTGTGAATGGGGATCGTTTTGACAATGGTGTCGTCTGTACACGGAAAACTCAAAGAAAAAACATCTCCGTTTTAAGCGTGTCGTTGTCGTGTAAACGGACCCTAAGTGCATCAGTTACTATGTTACACATGTGTCTTGTTAGTTGCCTTATTAAGTCCTGTGTGTGTGTGTGTGTGTGTGTGTGTGAATATATGTGTATGTGAATACATGTGTATATATATACACTCACCTAAAGGATTATTAGGAACACCTGTTCAATTTCTCATTAATGCAATTATCTAATCAACCAATCACATGGCAGTTGCTTCAATGCATTTAGGGGTGTGATCCTGGTCAAGACAATCTCCTGAACTCCAAACTGAATGTCAGAATGGGAAAGAAAGGTGATTTAAGCAATTTTGAGCGTGGCATGGTTGTTGGTGCCAGACGGGCTGGTCTGAGTATTTCACAATCTGCTCAGTTACTGGGATTTTCACGCACAACCATTTCTAGGGTTTACAAAGAATGATGTGAAAAGGGAAAAACATCCAGTATGCGGCAGTCCTGTGGGCGAAAATGCCTTGTTGATGCTAGAGGTCAGAGGAGAATGGGCCGACTGATTCAAGCTGATAGAAGAGCAACTTTGACTGAAATAACCACTCGTTACAACCGAGGTATGCAGCAAAACATTTGTGAAGCCACAACACGCACAACGTTGAGGCGGATGGGCTACAACAGCAGAAGACCCCACCGGGTACCACTCATCTCCACTACAAATAGGAAAAACAGGCTACAATTTGCAAGAGCTCACCAAAATTGGACAGTTGAAGACTGGAAAAATGTTGCCTGGTCTGATGAGTCTCGATTTCTGTTGAGACATTCAGATGGTAGAGTCAGAATTTGGCGTAAACAGAATGAGAACATGGATCCATCATGTCTTGTTACCACTGTGCAGGCTGGTGGTGGTGGTGGTGTAATGGTGTGGGGGATGTTTTCTTGGCACACTTTAGGCCCCTTAGTGCCAGTTGGGCATCGTTTGAATGCACGGCCTACCTGAGCATTGTTTCTGACCGTGTCCATCCCTTTATGGCCACCATGTACCCATCCTCTGATGGCTACTTCCAGCAGGATAATGCACCATGTCACAAAGCTCGAATCATTTAAAATTGGTTTCTTGAACATGACAATGAGTTCACTGTACTAAAATGGTCCCCCCACAGTCACCAGATCTCAACCCAACAGAGCATCTTTGGGATGTGGTGGAACGGGAGCTTCGTGCCCTGGATGTGCATCCCACAAATCTCCATCAAATGCAAAATGCTATCCGATTAATATGGGCCAACATTTCTAAAGAATGCTTTCAGCACCTTGTTGAATCAATGCCACGTAGAATTAAGGCAGTTCTGAAGGCGAAAGGGGGTCAAACACAGTATTAGTAGGTGTTCCTAATAATCCTTTAGGTGAGTGTATATGAGTCCTCATTTCTGTTGTTGATTTAAGCATTTTCAATTACTAAAGTTGAAATTGAAGTAAATTAAATAGAAATATGTTCCTGCATGTAGTTCTTCCTTATACTGTAATTTCTCAAACATACTACACTTTAAGCAAAATATACAATGTCTGCTGCCAACAGTAAAATTAGTCAATTTTAGTGGCGCTCAAGTGGTAGTTGAAATATCTCTGGGTTGTTCAAATCCCCTCACAAATACTCTTCATTCTATCCATTTCTCTTCAACAAGAAAACTTTTCATGGGTCCGTATATTTCCAGTTTTCTCATATTTAATTTGAGTTTTGAACACATTACTAATGGCATTTACCTCCCTGAGCCACCAGGCCAATCTCACAAAGGTCATTAGAAAGGCTACCAAAAAAAAAAAAAGTCCCTCTACTTTTTTTTAGCCTTTGTTTACTGACAGAGACACTCACATCTTCTCTGTTCCATATTTGACTGTTTATTCATCCCGTATCCATTCACAACTATCAGCCAACTCACTCCAGCATGTTCTGGCCAGTCTGTGTAAATACACTCTAGACCACACATTGCTTTCTTGGTCAGACAGGAAGCAACCAAGTGAGTTAAGAGGAAGTGAACAACCCCCGACTAAGTTACTCGTGCTGCACACTGAACCAGGAAGTGCTTTGGCTATGATCACGAACACACCCTAAAGCTTCCTCTTTTACACACCACCCTTCCGCTTTCAGAAGGGCTCCCCATAAGCGACAGCCTTTCTTTAGCAATCAGAATGGCAAATAGTCATTTTGTAACTTATTGCACCTGTGCTCCTCTTAAATTAATGTATAGATATGCTCCCTATCAGTTTTGCCTCTCATCTAAATGATTTTATTTATCACCAAACATGTCATATTATAAACGTGTATATTCCATGCATGTGCAAGTGCTAAGTGCACATGAATGTATGCCTTCCAGCCTTGCCTTTTCCTGTGACTGTTGTCTGTACTTGAGGAAAAGGTGGGTCCACTCCCCTGACCTCAGTCACACACATAGACACACACATTGCTATTTTCAATGAGACTCCCACTTTAACTCTATTGTAATGCTAGAATTACTAGTGGTTACTAGTGGACTACAGCCACACCATCAAAATCTACACAGCCCTGACCCATATGAGAACAAGCTGGAGGACCTTGGGAACCCAGTGTTAGGGTGGTTTTCATAAATAATGATCCTGTGATACTGTCAGGAAAGAAGTAATTGGATATATTCCCTGAGAGAAGCAGCATTTGGTGTAGGCTTATACTCTTTTATGGACTTGTGAGAGTTTAGACAACAACAACAAAATAAGTTTATTTGTGCGATGAGAAACTGAAAGGACTCTTTGTTCAAACTAAAAACCTCACTAATTGCCTACAATATCTTTTTGCAACAAATCAGCATTGAGGAGTAGCACTTTATGATTCAACAAGAGGAGCAGTTCAAGCTTCTCCCTTAACTATAGGTAGAAACAAATGACACATGGACTTTAATGGTTCAAGCAGGTCAAACAATGTCAGTACTGATGTAATAGTGAAAACTCACTGGAGATGTTGAAGATAATTGTGTCATAATCAAATTATGTTTAAGTTGTCACCAAGTCCCACTTCTAATACAAACCAAACCAAACATAAAATGCACTTGTACTAATCATGTAACAGAGTCCAGTAAGGACTGCTCAAGAGGAGTCATAGGGGCTGTTTACATGACCCCGTTTTGAACTAAAAACAAAAACTTTTTATGCGTTTTGGGCGTTCATTTACATGTAAACACCGTTTTGGGGGCTTAAAAAAGCAAACTTTTGGAAACGTGTTTCAGGACACGTTTACACGACAACGATGTACTATAAACGGTTTTAGCATACAGGCGACAACACTGTCAAAACGATCCCCGTTCACACAGATCCGTGAAACCGATTAAAAATGCTGTGTTATCCATGCCAGGCCAGTGCTTGGCAATGTCACTTTGTAAAGAAACACCACGCACCTATAGACTGAACACGTAATACGCTTACGCATGACGCCACCGTTTTCACAAATTCACGGTTTTGTAGTTTACACAGAGACAATAACAGTATACAAAAACTTGCACTTTTAGGGGGCGTTTACACGACAAAAAATGGAACTAAAAACTGAAAACCTTTTATGCGTTTTGGGCATTCATTTAAGCATACATAACAATGGCGTTTGGGGGGCCTGAAAACGCTAACTTTTGAAAACGGGTTTCAAAGTTTAGGTTTTTGAATACGATACCGTTATCATCTTCGTGTAAACTGAAAAATGAGAATTTGTGAAAACATCATGCGCATATGTATACAAGTAAAGTTAATTTAAAAACGTTTCCGTTTTTAGCACATCGTTGTCGTGTAAACGTACCCTTAGCCTAGCTAGGCATACACATGCCAACCCCACCAGAATTATGCGTTTTTAAATATCTGAACAAAAGATCTTGTGTGCTAGAACTAATGCTTTATGTTAAAAGGAAAAAAAGCTTACAACATCTTAAACAATGCTAAGATGGTTTGCTGGTCATAGAAGAATTTAGGGCACTTTTCAGCAAGTCAGGCTGGGAGACCTGCTGACCAGCCACCCAAAATCAGTCAAGTATTGACCAGGACTGTGAGAAATGTTTAAACCACCTTAGAGCAAAACAGCGTAGGCAATTTTAAGATGTTTTCCCCCCCACAGCAGGGATCTTTATACTGTTGTGTCGGAAGGATAGCTTTTACGCCACCTGCTGGACATCTAAAAAAAACTTGTACACTTGAAAACTACGAAATCTTGGTTATTGTATGCCTTGCCTACAGTTTACATAGGCTACACACACACGCGTCGGATATTTGTATTTTATGAGGACTCTTCATAGACATAAATATTTTTATACTGTACAGACGCCATAGGGCCTACTATCCCGTATCTCTCTAAACTTAACCCTTTAGGCATACAGAAAATATTCTGCGTTTTTAAATTTTTACATAAAAAAAAACACACCAGACAACGATTTCAATTATAACAAATGTTACAGGAAAAATCAACACTTCACGAAAGAAGTGACGTTACAGAAAGTTAATAAACATTCAACTGCACTGGGTTAGCCAAGTAAGGTACGTGATCTTAAAGATGATAAACTGTGCCTGATCGTTGTTGATGGTTACAAAAAGTCCACTGCGTGTCTACAATTTGCAAACAACGTTACTTATAAAATGCAGCGTTATAAAATGCAACAACATTCAAAACATCTCCAATCAATTGAAATGTGAGTGTGATCAGCTGTGGTCACGTGACTAGCACATTTGGTGATTTACGCAGCAGCACATAGAGAACACCAAGAAGACAAAGCGACACGGTTCCTCTGTCAGCTCTTTTTCAGTGTGTCCTCTTATTTTCACAAGTCAACATCCGATCAGAGACTGGCCCGCGTCCTGACTATCTTTCTGTCTACAGAAATATTTCCTCTGGTGTGTTTGATGTAGCCTAGTTGCCATCGGAGGAATTTAAAGTAAGTAGCGAATAACAGACAGTCATTAAACATTAGCCTACATCAGATAGAAATATGGGGCAGCATGAACCATATTATAAAGCATTGTTGTGTTATATTAGGCTACTCTGATTTATGGGAATTTGAATGCATAATATGACTAGCCTGGCTACTGACAGGGGACTGCCATATCTTCCTTGTTAAGATCATATCACATTTTGAAAAACAAATTAACCTGTAGACTTTTTTTTTTTGCATGCACAAACTTTTTGTTTTCCTGCACCAACTCGTTTCTTTTTAAACAATCGAATTGGTGTAACTATTCATAGTCGTGCTCTTTTTTTAAATGGACTGGAAAATTATCAAACGCTCAGTTGAATAACGATTCGTGTATTATTTTGTGTTTCTGAGAGAAAGGGAGGATGTTAAGTTAAATTGATCTTATTTGGATCAATTATGATTCCCATTAAGCCGACAACTGGAGTGTTATTGTTTAAGATTTGATATGACAGTTTGATCAACAAACGAGTTGGTCTAATAAACAACCTATTATTTTATTATCGTGCAAAACATTTAGCCTAATGAATGTTGAGAGCTAGTGTAGGCCTCTATATATTTTTAGATGCAAAAAAACAACTAGGGAATGAAATTACAAAAACTTTTATTTAAAAAAAAACACAATTGACAACGTAGTATAATAACAGGAAAAACGGCCTAATGGAACATTGTGTGGAACATGTACGCTCTACATGGCATGTCAGAAGTCACGTTATGACGTAATTATGTTAGGACGTAGCCTACAATAAAAGCTGAACTGTCTTTTTAAAACTAGTTCTTTGAAATAATCCACTCTAAAGAACCGATTCGCCTAAATGATTCTGGCTTAGGATACTGTCATTACTTTGGCATGCTTATGCCTTACTGTTTTTCCGCAACTTCACATTCACACATTCTTCTGAAAAGCAGCTTTACAGAAAAAGTTTGTAAACCAGTCAACGGTGTTTGTTTGTTTATTTAATAATAATATTTATTATTTTTCGGTGTTAAACAACCGTGTATAAAGATGGCAAATTATTAGACGATCACACAATAACAACTGCATTTTTTTTATTCAAGTTGTTGTGTTTGAGAGAGGGACACAAACACAGAGGGAGGCGGGTTGATGCATGTTTGTTTAAGCAGGAACCACATGACCGTCTTGCTCGTAATGTGTTGTGTTTCTCTAATGGCAGTCAGCCATCTCATCTCAGCGCAACTACCTTGCAAATTAAGAATTAATCATTCCGTACAGTGTTAACTCAAGATTTCCAAGAGATCTGACGGACATTACAAGCGTCAGCGATGCCAGGTACGATATTTGCACGTTTTTCGTAGCTTTCTGTAGCTTGCACTGTGTTCCTCTCGGTGTGTGTGTGTATTTGCGCGTCTCGACCTGACTTCACAGCGTCTGTGTGTCTGTCATTGACTGGACACTGTCTTAATGTCTAAAAAGCAGTTCCGACATCAAATATGGCCGTGCAAACTGAGTCTTGTTTGATTGTACGTCATTTTGGAGTGCTTACTTGTACACGTTTAACACTGCGCTATTTGCAACTCGTATTTGTTACGAAGTTCTTCTACAAACGGATAACTCGCACGTCATTTCAAGGGTTGTTGAGGCCCACTTGGACTGTCACTGCATTTCTCAACACGAGTCACGACCGTCAGTTTGTGCTAGTTTACTCTCTGCTATGAGCCATATCCTATTCAGAAATGTCATGGAGGTAGGCTATATTCGCGTTGTTGAGATCTTGTTTGTCCTCTAAATAAGTTATTCTGCCTTTCTCGGTGTAATACTGTAAAAGTGGATTACATAATTGGCTTTGAGAGTGTTTATAACGCTCGTGCATGGAACGGTGTAAGTAACGGATAACGTTAATCAATTTGTGTGGTTGTGTTTCGGCGCGTAATAAAAACTAATTGATTATTTTGGACTTTTTTTTGCCAAATATTTAATGAGTTTGTTTACTATTTTCTATTTATTCACCCGTGGCCCAATATCAGAGTGCTTGTCTAGTTTGTGTTGAAGAAGGAAAGGTTATCTGTGTGTTCAGGCTGTTGTTTTGAGATTTCTGACACTATAAACATACATGCAGAGGCGTGTTGTTGCATAAGCTCCAGGTTTTCTGCAGTCTGTCACACATGCTACACATCACTTTGTGTTTGAAGAAAATGTAACTTGTATAACTACTGCTATTATTAGCTTCTTAAATCGACCCAGTTGTCCTGACATAGCTGCTTGTCTTGTAGGGGTGAAAGAGGAATCCTCAATCTGTGACTGTGATTAATGGATGCTTTGACAAACATAGTCTTTGACAAACATAATGGATGCTTTGATAAACATAGTCTCAAACAACTAAACCAAGGTGTTATTTTGTTGACCTAATATCGCTGTATATTGTATTGGGACCATAAAAAGCCATAACACAGTCTAGTAGGATGTTGTAGACTAGTTTTATGAACTTATGTTTATGACAATGGACTATGATACATAGATGCTTGTGATTTGGTCTTGTCCTATATTTTAAAATGAGGGCAGTCAGATTCAAAAGAGTACTAACAGATTTTTTTAACATAAGCTTTGTAGCACAGTTTTGGCAGTGATGCTGACTGAGTGTTAAGAGAAAGGGGTCTTGGTGTGTGTGTAATGTGTATGAATGAATATGTGGCACTGTGAGGAAGATGCTTACCTATACATTTGGGAGTTTTTTTCTTGTCACTAGCTACGCTCGTTCACATTGCCAGTGTTTGGGATTGACAACTGCAAGTGTGAGTCTCAAAACATACTGTTTACACAGCTGCTTACAATAGCTGCTCGGGTACTGTCTGCATTTAAGTAACAGAAGTCAAGCGTATTATATTTGTAACTACTGTATCACCCGTAACTATAGTGACAGTGATCAAAGATGGCGATGTCCATAAAACTGAAAAGTCTTACGTTTGACATAAGTGTTCAGTTGAGGTATGAGTTCATCTGTCAAATCTTCATTAACAGACAACAGCTTTTATACCACAAAACTAACAGGAGCAAGATCCCGAAAAGAGTGACTGGATCTAAAACCTTGAAATGATATGGCTCCAAAATCACACATAAAAACCCGCTACACTCTGTACACGCTCATGTGCAGTGTCTCTCTTGCACTATATGACATGAAAGACAGCTAGTTCACATGGCACAGGGTTTGCATAAAATGCAGTTGTGAGTCCTGAAAATGTACAGACCGAGTTCAGTTGTAGAATGCCTTTTTCAGTTCAGTAAATAACCAAGCTGTGTGAATGCAACCATATTAGGGATTCAAATACTGGGCTTACAACCATATTCTGCTGCTTTGTGAACTGTCTCTGCTGGCTTAGTCACACTCACAAGGGGTTTGTAAAGGTGCTTTTGGAGTAATGGTTTGTTTCCACAATGTAGCATCCTAACATGGACATCATAATGGATTGATTTTGAATGCTGTACATATATCTATCTATATTATTATCCTCCTAAATAGCACTCCACAAGAGAAACTTCACTTACAATTGATTTCAATAGAGTTTGATGAAGGCAAGGCAGTGGCACAAAACGTAAAATACATAATACACACACATACTAGGTCAAATAAGTAATTTAGATTGAACTATAATTTTTTATTATGACATTTTTATTCACTTGTGGGGTTAATCCAAGCTTTGGGAAATTAAACTGATATTTGCTTTAAAAAACAAGTGTTAGCTAAATAAACAATTTTTAGTCATTGTCAAGTCAATTAAAAGCGCTTTATACAATACAGATAGTTTCAAAGCAGCTTTAGTGGTAACAGTAAAAGGATTCAATGATGATGCTGCTGCAAACAGAGTTCAATTCTGCTGTAAAGCAGCTCTAAAAAAGAAAATAGTGTTTTGCTGTTGTTCAGCTGAAGTCAGTTCAGTGTTGAGTCAGTGTCCATTTTCCTCTTCATAACTATTTCATATAGGCTTATCACTTCACTTGTACTCATATATTGGAAATGTGAGCAAGGGCCCTGTTTTCATCTGGTATGTGAGATTTCCTCATTCATTTTTATTTTATTAACTGTATAGCCTAATATATTGTAAAATATTGTGATATTTTGCGTGTATCGATTCACAGGCGCCAACATATTGCAATAAACACTGCCCGGCCAGAGTGCTTGACTCTTGCATTTTCAAAACAAGATCTTGACCAAAAATGTATGCACCTCTTGATGGAAATACCATCACAACATTTATTTCCATCAAGAGTTGCATCAAACACCAACTTTTTTTGGGGGGCCGGGGCCTACGTCGTAGGCTGTGTGTAGTGCGCGTAGCCTTCGGCGTACCCTGACGTGCACCTCTCCAAAAATGTAACAACGCGTCAATTCTACGCGTACCGCAAGCGCTGTGATTGGTCTGCTAGAACCGCTCCCCGGGTTCCACATGCTCCCTCTGCATGACGCAGAATGAAAACCAACGCGTAGTCTATAGTGTAGAGGGTCCGGCGTAGGTCCGACGCAGAAGTATAAATCAGCCTGAAGTTATTGCAGTACTCGGCATATAATAAAATATTTAGTATTGCAATAATATTGTTATCTAATATTGTAATACTCTGGTTATTCCCACACCTAACTAAGTATGTAATGCATTGAAACAGTTTGTTCTTACAAACATGTTTACTTGTGTGTAAAAACATGTAGGCTAATATTAAATTAATACAGTTAAAAACACAAACCAACACATTCTTAGCTGTGAAAGGTTATCCCATTTCTTTGGGAATTGAAATCTTGGTGGTTTCACAACTAGCAGAAGCTTTGCAATGTTGTGGCATCATTGATTCTGACACACTGACCGTTGCAAGATGGCTTGCGCTGACTCGTCTCAAGCAGTCGAATGTGGCATTTACATATACATCTATGGAGTAGACATGGCTGTCTTGAAGAGGCGACTGATTGAGGCTGCAAAATTTTGATGGATTAACCCAAAAAGTGTATTATGACATAACATGGGCTCAGCATTGCAGATGAATGTTTTGTCAGAACCCTTGTATCAGTGAAGTCGTACTCCGTTTGCGTCTCTGTTTGCTATCTATCACCTGTCAGGTGTGTGTTTAAAGCCCCCAGTCCTTCATCTTAGTAGCTCATCCTCTCATGTCATCACTCACAGATGAGCTTATTTCCTCCAGTGATGTCACTGCTATTATTAAGCCTTAAGTCTCTGATCTCTCATACACCAACGTAACACACATTAGACAGACAGCCACAAATGTTCTGTGGTTCTGCTACCTTCCTACGAACTGAATACTGCACAGTACGACATGTTGCCTACTGTCTATTCTTAAATATAGGCATTGTCACAATAAATCAAACAAACAGTATTCTACATTGTACACCTCACTATTAGTCACATGACTTAATGTATGCTGAATTCAGCAAGACACAACCACTTTTTGATCAAATGATGAGTCAAGAAAGAAATGTTAAAACAAAATCATGGCCTTTTTTTATTAATACACTGCATATGGAGGCAGCATTCAGCTTTAGGTTTCAGTCAATGCTTGTAAGCAGGTGAAATCTTGTTTTTCCCCCAACCTGCTTTTTCTTGCTGTGCTGCAACAGGTTAGACCAGGGGTGTCCAATGCTGCTCCTGCCCCATTGTCCTGCAGAGTGTATCTCCAACTCGCCTCAAAACACCTGCCTGGAAGTTTCTATGCCTAGGAAGAACTTGATGGTGCTCTAGCTGGTTCAGGCGTGTTTAATTGAAGTTGGAGGAGCTAGAGTTGCAAAATTCCAGGAATTTTCAAGGCTGGAAACTTTCCACGGGGAATAACCTGGGAATTTGCAGAATTGCAGGTTAGCCTACAGCAGGGATAGGCAACTCCGGTCCTGGAAGGCCACCGTCCAGAGTTTAGCTTCAGCCCTGATAAAAACTCACCTGATAATTCCTCAATCACGGGCCACACCCCCTGCATGCACTGTGCATTCCTCCATAACATGCACATTTGATCAAAATACAGAAAAAACAGTAATATTGTGAAATATTCCATGGTAACTTATGTTATACGGCTAGCCTGCTCCGGAGGCAGTTTGAGATCGCACACCAAAACTGGACCAATCAGCTATGAGCAAAGTGATATATGCAAAGTGACATATATCTGATGCAATAAAACCATTCCCCCTCTATCTTGCTCCCAATTAAAGCAGTTCATATAAAAAAAAAAAAACATTTAAAGTAATTGAATAAAAAGTAATTTGTCATGTGTACAAGTCACCAAGTACAATTCAAAACTTAACGTAGATATAAACACTTTATTTATTATAGGAATTATAATTATTTATAATTCATATGTTAGTTAAATAATTATAAATTGACAATTAATATTAAACTTTGCATTGAAATCAATATAAATATATGCATATAATAGAAATACCAGCTTTAATATATAAATCTTTTAAAATGACTAAGCTTACATGTTTTCTTTTGAGCTCTTTGTGAACCTATACATTATTTAAATTCAGTTGATTCACTTGCAGTCAGATATTTAATTCAGTTGTCATCTCAAACTTTCTCTGCACCAGCAGTGTTTATTCATGCCTTGTAAATGCGTTTAAATTCATGATATTTACTCATTATGATCTGTTGATCTTCAGCAGTGGTGAATTACGAGCCAATGCGCGGCTCTCTCGCGAGAAGTGAGTCAAACTGACGCTCATCGTGTTCCGTGTGATTGGCTGTTTGCCGCACGTGTCACACTTTCAGGTGCAAGCGCTCAGAGTTACTGGATAAAACGGTGAACGTTTATATGTGAGCCCGCTTATCTAAACCAGGTTTGATATATGGTTATGTCAACTACTCTGAAACGCAGTTTGTTCAGCTAGCTTCATGCCCGGGCCACAACCTTTAAAGGCTGTATGAAATAAAGGTGTTAAGATTCTTCAGTCATTTTATTATGTATCTGGTTTATTGTTCCCTCTAGTGTTTACAGCAGGCATTACTGTTGACGCCTGCAGCTGAGAAGAAACATGCATATGTTTTGAGTTACTTAGGTGTTTCTGTTTGTGCAGATTTTTTAATGCATTGTACAGGGTTTAAGACGTGCAAGAATGCAGTCTATTGGCCAAAAAAATCAGAAAAAGAAACACAACCAAATCGAAAAACTATCAGGATTTATTTGGGAATGTACACTACATATGTGTGCTGTTGTTTATTAATTTAGTTATTTTGGTGTATAATTTTGTTTATGATCTTAACAGGCCAACATGGTGAGTGTTCAGCCACGTTGTATACTTGCATCATTATGGAATGTGATCATGTGCACAATGAGTAGGTGTGGTTGTGTTGAAGTATTATGACAAGCCTTATGCAATCGTGTTTAGCATTATACTATATAAACAGCTACTCGCCTCATGCCTCCTTTCAGCAGCCCTGCACTTGCCCTACTCTTACTTTTAATTTAACAAATTATTGTAAAATATTTCTCTTAATTGTTATATTTGCCATTCAAATGTTTAGATGGATTAAAAAATACTTTTTATCCTGGAAGGACTGATTAAAAGGAGCAAAGGTGACAGTACAGACTACAAAAAAATTCAAATAAACGCTGTTCTTTTGAACTTTTTATTGACAAAAAAACTGAAATCATTTCACGCTTTCCACGAAAAATATTAAGCAGCAAAACTAGCCTATTTTCAGTATTGATAAAATACATAGAATAGAAATGTTTTTTTGAGCACCAAATCAGCATTTTAGAATTATTTCATAGTAGAATGACGTGACACTGAAGCTGGGAGTCATGGCTGCTGAAAAGTCAGCTTTGAATTTGAACATCACAGAAATAATTTTAAATAATACATTTATTTTAAAATATTTTAAGATCGAAAAGTTATTTCAAATTGTAATATTTCACAATATTACTTTTTTGATCAAATAAATTCAAGCCTTGTTGAGCGTAAGAAACTTTCAAAAATATCTTACTGAACCCAAACCTTTGAATGGTACTTTGTGTATTTAATAATACTGAATATGTATTTGGAATGCATGATATTTATGTGTCGTCCACTTTGTCTGTGTGTGCTTTTTGTGGTCAGTTCAAACACTTTGCTCTCTTAGTACACGCCAGACTTTTGCTGTATTTTTGTATATTATTTTGATGTTTGAACTTATTTGCAGAATGTTACATTTCCAGGTGGCAGTTTCAGTTTGCTTTCTTGAAACAAAGAAAGACGCATACATTTAAAATAGCTGCTAATATTGTTTGACAAAACATAATATTAATATATATATTATTTATAATGATATTGCTATCAAAATGTGTGTTGGTGCATCTATAATATGTATGTTTATCTTTTTCAGAGCCTGCAGAAATGAATGGGTCTGACGTAGCAAAGATGTCGGGCAGTGGGGTTTCAGGAAGTGAGGGAAAGGATCCAGTAGCCAATGGGCATGCAGAGAATGAGTCCAACCCTTTTGCAGAGTACATGTGGATGGAGAACGAGGAGGAATACGATCGGCAGGTCTGTACACACTTACAGCACGTTAAAAACACACTAACTCAGCAGTTGATCAGGTTGGGTTTTTCAGTATGATTGAGGTGTGTGTTAGTGTTCAGTTCATAGTTTTACATTTTTAGGAGCATTTGGTGTTCTGTGGCTCTTGAAATGCCAAATGTAAAGGCTTTACACATTATTATATTTTTTTAAATCAGCTTGGAAGTGAACTTTTAGCTTATTGTCAATTTGTTTATATCTCAGGTAGAGGAGGAATTGCTTGAGCAAGAGTTTTTGGAGCGCTGTTTCCAAGAGATGTTGGACGAGGAGGATCAGGATTGGTTCATTCCTGAGAGAGACCTCCCATCAGTCGGACAGATTCAGCAACAGCTCAACGGACTTTCTGTCAGCGACGGCAACGCAGAGGAAATCTTGGTGAGCTCACGGACATTGTATAAAATAGTCAAATAATCTTAGGAGTATAGGCTAGTACACCCAAAAAATTAATCACAAGCAGCAATTCATGCCACAAGAGTTCTGTAGGCCCCGCCCACTCCCATGAAGCACTTCAAATGACAATGTAGTCAGTCTTTCAAGAATTTTTCAAGCCATTACTCCAGTCTTCAGTGTCACATGATCCTTCAGAAATCACTCATAAGATCTTTTCATATTATTATCAATGTTGAACAATGTTTTGTGTGTGCGTCATGGGGTTGTAGTTCTTCCTTCATTAAAGCCGTACATGTACAGTATTTTTGTTTGTTTTTCAAATACTTTTTGCTTCAAATCAAAGTTTGTAATTTTGTGATTCACCAAGTAGCTGGCTGGTTTTGTTCATTGTTTATAACAAAGACTTTTTTAAATGATCCCTATGGGAGAAATGAATGGGGAAAATATTTCCGATACCAAGCCGCTGAAAAAAGTGGTCTGGCACTGTTGCACTCTATTGGGGTCCAAAACAACACTGGAAACCATTGACTTTCATTGAATGGGCAAAAAATATCTTTTACATTCCACAGTAAAAAGAAAAGAAAAAAAAAGCACTAATTTGTGAGATATATTGTAATTGATTATTCTCTTTGTCCCCAGCGAAAGAGCATCTTAAACCCTGAAGCCAAGGAGTTTGTGCCTGGGGTGAAATACTAAGGATCATCGTTCCTCCTCTCTCATGCAAACATCGGATCATATACTCAAAGACTGTTGTGCCCATGTTTTTGGATGGTCACATGAATGCACTCTTCTACACATTTTCGAAGGGGCAGGAATACAAATTTATTTTTTTGGGGGGGTGGGAGATGATTGTCTATAAGCTTTATATTTCTGTTATGTATAAACCAAGGGTATTAAGTTGAAACACGACCTCTAGGAGGTGCTGTAACTAGCTAATATCATACTCATTACCAGGCTGTTTTATGTTGTTCTACCCTTTGCTGAAAGGGCTGGTCTTGTCATTGTTTCACAGTTTGTGCCTGATCAGGTCTTTGCTTTCCCTCCCCTGTTTTTTTTGTTGTTTTGTTTTTTAATTGATATTTTGCCGCGGGAAGTTTTGATGCATCTGTTCACATTCCTGAGTTTTAAGGGGTGTGGCCGTAAATGACTGGGGGTGTGGCCGGTGGTGGACGGAGCCCTTGGTTGGATGCTGAGGAAAGGATGTTGGGGAATTCACATGAATTCAACTTTTGATTTTGAATTTAAAACGTTACACGCAGGACTGAATTTCATTTAAAAAATGGAAGGAAAAAAGGCAAATAAAGAAGAAAGGTTCGTACTCAGTTGGATCATTTCTTGTGTCTGGATGTACCAGTAAAATGTGTACTTGGTATTAATTCTCACATTTAATGTAGCATTAACATTTAATACTATCCATTTAACATATGCATATCCATGAATCGATTTACATATGTGAACTAATCTAATCAAGACTCTTCAGTAATCAGCAAGTCATGTAACATTATCCATTTATTAATTTCCAGGAGATGGTTTGGAAACATGTTTTTATTTTTTATTTTAACTGCTTTATGGAATGGAGAATACGTAATTACATTCTAAGGTTCATAAAAGTGATTTATTTGTATGTAGTGACACTAACTAGTAGGCCTAGAAACAGCATGGCATTCATCACAAATTCAAGTTTCATACTACTGAAATCTCTTTAACCCTACTTTATTTCTTTGATTTTATTCTTGTTTGGGTGATATTCAAACTTTAAAATCCAGGGAATTATAAGACGGTAATTTACAGCTATAATGAATGGTATTGAGAAATTATTGTTAGCATTAATTATATATATATTACAGCAATTACAACATCTACACTTTGAACAAGTGTCAAGATGTATCTACCATCAATTTTATTTTACTGATGTTTTAAAAGCAAAAAGACATCTGATAAAACAATGTATGGAAATGCTGACGTAGTTGACCATGAAGGGCTGACATGATTTTAATTGCAAGTTATAGATGAATAACTTGATCAAAAGAGAAGTTCTCAAAAATATCAATTCAGGCCTAGTAACAGCACATCACTACATACTTGTGAGTGACCATGACCACTTGTGTGGCCTTGTACTGATAAAATAGTGCATTTGGCTTCAAAACTCTAAATATATGTAATAATTTATGATCAAATTATTCAAGGATTGAAACCTATTGTTCACCATTTTAAACAGACAAACAAGGTCTCAAACCGTGAGATCGCCCTATTGATTATGTACACTGTTCAGATAACGGGTTACATTGTATTGGCCATGTGCGTTTGACGCCAGGCACCTTCATCAGCATAGAGGTCTACAAACTCGAACAACAGCTGAACGAGGGCAAAAGGACACAGAAGACAGTGTGAAGATCATGTATGTAAATCCTTATGAAAAGCTGTCAAGCTCAGGTTGTGTGTCAATGCACTGTCTGTGTGCTCTTATTCTGGTATTCACTGCATTACTAAAGACATTATCCTTTATTACTCTGTATATATTATGTCTAAATCCAGTTTAGTGTTGTAGTTGTTATCAACCTCGAAAGTTTTTTTGTTATATTTGTGAAAGTTCGCAGGAGACTGACGGCATGATTTACAAAGGCTACACAGCAAAATGCAAAGATCAGCACCAAAAATAGAAAGGCCAGATTAGAGTTTGCAAAAAATAAAAAGAACATTCTGTTTCGATTGTCCTTAAAAAAGATGAATCTTTTGTGTTATCAATGCACAGTACTGTGTACCATCATGCAAATCCATACACTGTCACTGTGAGACCAGATTCTAATCTAATACAAAATATTGACAAAAACGATGATACCAAAATAACACTGTTGCTGACTCATTATGTTCCCATGATCTTCCAGCACTTGTTCCATTTCATAGCCACTCATGAATGCTGAATGGTTTACTGATGCGTAAATCATGGATGTTTTGATCCGGGTTTCAACATTCATTGCTTAAATTCTTAGAAGACCAGCTCGCCTAAAATACCGTACGTCTCCAAATAAGTCTCATGACGATCAGCACGATCTTAGTGTCAGTACATCCTGTAACAAGGACAAATAGAGGCGGGTCTTTTACATCTGTCTGTATGGTCACACACAGGATGTGGTGATAAGGAAGAGGAGGGGATGTTTGGAGTTAGGAACTGATGCTGACAGTCATTTGTCTCTGAACATTACATTTACATCACATCTTTTTGGCCTAAACATAACTTGACTTTGAATATCTTAATCGGGTACACCAGCAGCTGTGGGTGAACCTCCTGAACCGAGACTAAACTATTTTGGTTGAGCTGGCATTTATGCAATCATCAGTGGAGGAAGGTCTTAGACTATTCCCTAGTGTTGGGTCCGAGTCCACCCTGTCAAGTCCAAGTCCTTAACCTCTTGAGTTTGAGTGGGAGACAATTATTAATGTCTTGTTATTTTCATTTTATGTTCTTGCTTATTTTTTCCAAAATATCAGAGTCTGTGTCAAGTTTGAGTCCAAGTCCACCCGAGTGCGTCCGAGTTCATTCATAATTGCACTTGAGTCCATGTCCGAGTCCAAGAACCCCAACTCTACTATTCCCTGTAAATAATCTTTTTTTAAACTTCAGCCAAGACAAGAAACACGTCATTGCTACACTAAATATTTAGAGTTTATATTTAAATAAAAATTATAAAGTTTTATTTTCAAATGATCTATAGCAAAAGTTTTTAATGACAACAAAAAAAGTGCTTTTGCAAATTTTTATTAACAAAATTATTCCATGGTAATATATATCTATATTTTTTGTAACCTTATTTACCAAAATTTACCAAAGATTATATTGTTAGAAATGTTCAGAAATGTATATGTGCATTTAACAGGATGCATTCAAAATGTTTGTTGATTGATAAGATATGGGTGATTGAGAAACAGCACCACCAAGAGGAAAGTCTGGAAACATTTCTATATCAGTTTTACATTTCAAAAATAGGAAGTTGTCATTTCAGATCATCAACATAAGACTGTAGTGGGATCTGTAATCTCAGGTCTGTTTGTTCCCGATCACTGATTGAAGGTGTGGCTGAAAAACACATTGGCGTTGGCAGAGTAGTCCAGCGGGAGGGTGACTCCTGCATTCTGTGCCCCCATTTTAGCGCCACCCAGAGCGGACGACTGACGTAAAGTGAGCAGGGTGTACTTACGGAAGTGACTGAAACCTTGAGCCTGAGCCTGTGAGAGGACCTGAGTGAAACCTGCAGCACAAAAACACCGCATCCACAACACAATGTTTAGTTCTTGTGAAATAGGGCTGGGCGTTTAAACTAATTTTATTTAAATTTACGATTTTGGCTTCCAACGTTTATGAAAGTGCACTGAAACATAGTTGCATTTGATTTATTTGTATTAATTGGTTTTATATTATTTATATTTATATGATATATATGATTACAATTATTACTTTTTTTTTTTCATTTAAATTATATTCAAAGTATGCATGATGTTTCCATGAAGTCAATTAGTAACTGTTACATAATCCTGATCTCAATATTGACAAAAATAAATGTGATTATGATTTTTGCCGTAATCATACAGCCCTAATGTGACTGTGGTCTTAACAAGTCTGTCTTGCAAAAAAACTTACAATATAATATTAAAAATCATACTGGTTAAAGATGTGAGATTAATTATGTGTCTGCAGGGAAGCTGAAAAGCTCTATAAATACATTACGCACCTGATTTCATTAGTTCCCAGCTGCACCACACAGACCCGACACACAGAACAGGCAGGCCAGGCTCACCAGAAAACAGATCCTGAATGAGAGACCACAGTGACAAATGTTAAGTCAAATAAACTGAGTGAGAATGGCTGTATTACTGTGGGCAGGGCCGGATTAACCATTAGGGCAACTGGGCACTTGCCCAGGGGCCCACGACATCTAAGGGGCCCTGGGCACCAGGGGCGGAGTGGCAATCGGGAGAGTCGGGAGTTTCCCCGGTGGGCTGGTAGTGTTTCGAGGCCGCGAGGGCCGGTCTGATAAAATGTATTCATTGCAAGTTCGCCATGCGCACTTGTGGCCCAAGCGAGGGGAAGAAATTTTTTTTTTAGATAACGGAGCGTGTATTTGCACTAAGTGCCTGTCTTTTTAGCAAAAAGACGCCCGTCACGGAATAGCTACAGTGGCGTAGGTCGTAGCGCGTGAAGTGCTTAAAAGCAGCTTTTGATGCGCTCGACCCGAGTTCGAATCCGCCTTTTGCCGAACTCTCTCTTCTCCCTTTTCCCAACACATATGAGATGTAAAATGTATAACCTTACCTAACATAAAGGTCTCTAGCGTTATATTTGGCCAACGAACTAAAATCGAAACCATGATATGGCTTTGTGCCTTTATAAAACAGCACAAGACTTTAAGAATAGGCATCCTGTGTGTGCTGGGTGATTTAAAGAAAAGTGCGCTCTTTGCTCACGCGATCAGCATGGTTATCTGGTGTTTTCTCCTAAATAAAAGCTCAAGGGTTTATTTCTTGCAAGTGAAGAAATTAGGACAAAAGTATTTAAATTTTCCTGTATTATAGTGTAATGTAGACTAAAATATACTTTTGAAATATTCATTTTCATTTATAGTACATTTATAGGCTATATTATGGATTTTACGTCATAGGAATAATTATATAAATCATTATTACATTATTATAATAATTGTTTGGCATCCTAAAACACCATTGATAATGTAATGTAGACTGAGACTCTCATAACTAAAAAGATGTTTGAGCCCTGGTACAAGTCAATGCTTTTTCTTTGTTCAACGAGCAGTTCATGGGTTGAAGCTCTTAATTTTGACCTCTCAAAGACCACCAGATTGATGCATTTAACCTTAAAATGTACAAAATTTTCTTGCGGGGGAGCATGCCCCCGAACCCTCCTAGAGGCACAGAGGTCCACCCAACATAGTTTTACAAAATCCTATGGGAAAGAATGACCATTTATGAACTTTAATCCAGCATAGCAACAAAGTTCCTTTTAAGTCAGTAAAACTGTAAATGCCATATTAAAATGTCCTTGGACAAAATATACATTTGGCCCTAAGGGGGGGGGGGGAGTGGGGGGGGGGGGGGGGGGGGCCTACAAGACATTGTGCCCAGGGGCCTCTGAACTCTTAATCCGGCCCTGACTGTGGGTGTTTTTTTTACCTGGTGTACTTTTGGCAGGACAGCTACAATGTGTTGCGCGAGGGCTTTTCCAGATTCCGTGAACACGTGTTGGCACAAAGCATCCCCAGCACTGCCACCTGATGCACACACAAACACAAAGAGTCAGTGTGTGGCCTGTGGCGTAATGCACACACGGCCTCACTGCATACATCAGTAGCATACCTTCAGCTAGTTTCCTACAGAACCCTGCGAAGTGTGACTTCTGAAAGTTTCTGTACAAATGAGGAAGCATTCCCATCAAATCCGACACCTGGAGGTGAACATGACAAGGAAACACCATCATTTCTATTCAAGTATCGATTTAAGCAGAAGATTAAATTAAATGAACAACAAGTCCTAACCTGGAAATATTCTTCCATGGCCTTCTTAACATAGGTGATATCATGAGGGGATGTGACAAGGTTATCTCTGGCATCAAAAACCGTTTTAACAGCCAAGTGAGAAATCCAGTATGCTAGAGGAGGATAAGGACAGAGAAAAAGAAAATGTTTAGGCCCTGTTAATATCTTATCAGATCAGAAAGGGCAGATATTGTCGTTTGGACCTGGTAGTTGGACATCAGACAGAATTAAGTATTTATGAAGTCATGTGAATGTCAGTTTTTGTTTTTTCAAAGAAATTAATACTTTTTATTCAGCAAGGACACATTTATTAAATTAAAAGTAACAGAAAAGATATTTGGAAAAAAAAAACGCTGTTCTTTTGAACTTTCTATTCATCAAAGAATCCTGGGAAAAAATTTATCATGGTTTCCACAAAAATATTAAGCATCACAATTGTTTTCAAACATTCTTGAGAACCAAATCAGCATATTAGAATGATTTCTGAAGGATCATGTGAAAATTGCTGCTATAAAATTCAGCTTTGCCATCACAGGAATAAATAACATTTTAATTACTACAGTTTTTCAGCATTGGGGAGAAGCTAACTACAAGTAGCGATGCTACTAACTTAAAGGATTAGTTCACTTCAGAATGAAAATTTCCTGATAATTGACACACCTCCACGTCATCCAAGATGTTCATGTCTTTCTTTAAGGTTTTTGAGGGTACAAACTGCATTTTGACCTTCAAACCGTTGGTTCCCATTGAAGTCCACTATATGGAAAAAAATCCTGGAATGTTTTCCTCAAAAACGTTAATGTCTTTCCGAAAGAAAGAAATGGATGACGTGGTGGTGAGGAAAATTATCAGGAAATTTTAGTTCTGAAGTGAACTAATCCTTTAACTACATTTTCAGCAGCTCAGTTGCTTTTAAACCAGTGTAGCCTTTCCAGTAGCTAACTACTTTTCCAATCAAGTTTCAGTGTAGCGTGACCAAAAGCTACATTACGTTTTGACGAACCTGCAATGTACTGAAGGAGCACAGTGTCGTCTTCGCTTTATTATGCCGCTTTATTGCACTCTATATAAAATGTCTATTTCTGACTTTATTACAATAATGGCCCGCCACAGTTTTTTAATGAACCTAAAAGATCACTAACATTCTATTTTGCGCCATTGCTTTGGCAAAGCATCTGTCAATCGAACAGAAAACAAAATCACAATAAAGCTTAGTGAGTTTATCACACAGAGCCTGATCTGATTAAATAGGTTTCAGAGTGAAGGACACTGTGTTGAACTTTTGAACAGTAGTGTATACAGATTACTTTTTCCTAGTTTGACAAATGATCAAGTCTTACCAATCTGGAAAGCCCTTGTTTTAGTATGATTACCCATTACGTGAGTAGGTAATGGTTAGCTATTGCACAGGACGAATGTGTGTCTCTGAGCTTATTTACACTACTATCCTAAAAAGTGTGCACATTTACATTATGTGGACTTGCAGGGCTCCTAAACTTCCACAGACATCTGATCAGTAAAAAAGCATGAAGCAACCTGGTGTATTTCTCCTGAATTTGGTTTAAGTGATCAGATGACAACACGTTTCAGGGACACACTGAATCCAAGCTGTCCACCTACGATAAGTTCATTGAGGTAGATGTAAATCAGATTCATTTGTAAGATAAGATAACACCTTTCCAAGATAAGACTGGGTGTTTGTGTAATATCAGTGCTGTAATGTCAATCAGTTCCTCTTTCCACATGGTTACCTGAGCCCTCGTCTCCCATCATGTGACCCCAGCCCCCACAGCCAACCTGTGTGCCATCTGGATTCACCAGCTTGCAGTTCGAACCAGTGCCTGATATCACTACTATTCCTCCTATGACAAAAGGACAGAGAGAAAGGGTTAGGAATGGGTGACAGTTGTGTCCTGAGATTCTTCGCTCCTTCTGGTTGCAAATACACTGCATATAATACCATAGTCACTGGCAGTTGCCATAGCACCAATAGCATCAGTGGTAATGAAATAACTTTGACTCAGTTTAGGGTATCTGTCCCTCATGTCGTCAATCAGCTTCTGAATAGCAGCCTTCTGCTCTCCACCACTCAAAGACATGCCCTGTCAACACACAATGTAGACAACGTCAAAGCGACCCAATGAAGTGGAATGCATTGAGGATGATTGACCGATGCATTACCTCACCAATGAACAAACTGGTGTGTCCGGGTCCAGCCCTGCCTTGATTTTAGCCCTCTGGACCATGTCGTGGATACCACTGATACATTTATCAACACCAACCAACTACAATAAAACAGAAAATGATGTAGACAGACTCAAGTACACAATAGGTGATTTCAGTCCATATTGAAGGATGTTCTCCCATCTCACCCAGTGGTTGGTACATGGTCCATCTGTCTCAGCTAGGATATGTCCCTCAGCAGAGACCAGCACTGCTTTAGAGTGTGTCCCACCACTATCAAGAAAAGTCTCTCATTCATTACTCTGAAGCTACTGTCACTTTCGTTTATTCATTCCCAAACGACTGGCAGGAAAAACACGCTAAGAGTACCGTGTTGCTTTTTAATACAAGCGTTTGTATGGTAAAATGTCATTAAAATGGATTATATTCCTTTTTATATTCATGTTTTTATTATTATTATAAACTTACCCCTCCACTCCTCCGTACACTGCGCTCATCTCGCCCGCTTCCTCTTTAGTCACATGACCGCTCACACTCAGATCAGCTGCTTCAAACGACTTTCAGTGAATAACACACGGACTTTGACAGATAGCTATTTTTTATTACCTAAATCAACATAAAACTCGATTCACACCCATTTTTATCATCTGTCTATATTTAAGTGAAGATAAGATGATTCGTTTTTCCGCATATTTTCGTTTTAGATTTTCTCCAGAACTATTTCAGTAAATGTTTATTTGTAGTAAAACAATCATAAACACATTTAAACAATGAACATAAATTAAAAATATATATTAAAAATATGAATATAAATATATATAAACATCCATGCATCACACACTCTGACCAATAGATGGCAGTGTTGAATGAATGTCCCAAGCCTCACATGACAAACAGATGTACTATGAATTAATTATTTGTCTTTTATCCACATTTGTATTATTGTTATTATTTACATTATTGACTTACAAATGCGTTCTTCAAAATGTTGATGTATACAAGAAAACAGCAACATACAGAATAGTAAACAAAAATATAATGAAACATTTTTGGTAGGCTAATTAAAATATTGCAAATGAAATTTTCGGAGTGTTGAGCAGTGATTGTGTTATTCCCCACTGCATTTGTGATTCACTCTTTGCTGACCGACATGTCTCACTGACGAATGGAGACAAAATACAATTTCATCATGAATGTGCACTTACTACCACAAGTTGATGACATGCAGTTGTGTAGGCTATTACAGAAATCTTTGAATCACAATAGCAGATTTAGTACAGTAGTATATAGATGCTGAATGCTGATCCAGTTCTCACAGGTAATGATTTTTAGACTTTTGATGTTTGCTATAAAAGCTGTAAGATATGCATCTATACCGTAACTTTAAATTCATAAAAATATCATTGCTGTAAAATTATGGCATAAGGTGCAAAATACTGATTTGTTTGTAAATGTTGAACTCGTTATTGCTTTTTCATCCCATTACACCTGCTGCCATAAATGAATCACGGTGACATGAACCAAGATAATTTGCACCAATATTTAATTTATAACAGAAAACCAAACGTTAAATGTTTGCAAGACATGTACAGTACAAGAAGGGATAAAAGAAAAACAAATCAGTTGATCTACAATATGAAAACGCATGTGTGAGCAAACCATAAGAGCCAGCCCAATGAAGGATTTATTTTCATGGTTATAATCGGTTGAATCGAGTTTTAAGGACATGGAAATGCTTAGACCAAACAGTGCATTCCTCTCTAAAAATAAAAAGTCTAATCATGTAAGTCAATATGACACCCAGGATTTAACAATGCTAAATTTCAGTGCTAAATTAATGCTGTTAACGGCTGAGAAATCAAATCAATGGAGAATAAATTAGTAACAGCACCTCAGCATAATAACTGGCAGCCATAAATTAAGCAACAGCACCTTATTGTTGTCAGAGAAAAATCCCAAGACGGTTGCTGCACCTATCTTATGATTTTTCACAGAAAACATTATAACAGGTATTATAACATATACATTATAATTGCTCGTGAAAAGAGTTGTTTTGAGGCGTCATGCCTATGTTTGGGTTGAGGAGTAGGTGGGAGGAAATGCTGTGAACGCGCGCCTTCTCCTATCGCGCGCGCGCGCGCGCGCGAGAGAGAGAGAGAGAGAGAGAGAGAGAGAGAGAGAGAGAGAGAGAGAGAGCGAGCGAGCGGCAGAGCAGCGTCTCAAAACTCAGGACCAGTAGCATGAAAACACTCTGTTATAACGTTTCGCTTTCCCCCTCCAAACATTCATTTAACAGTTAGATTAATCTTAATGATTTCCCGTCGAAACGCCCCTGAAGCAAAAGTTTGACAAGCGGAAGTTCGCGCGGTAGGAAATCGGAAAAAGTCTAAAGATTGAGAAATATTTATCCTTTATCTTGCTGTGCAGCGGTAGAGTATTTTAAAAATGGACACTCACATTAAGGAGGGACAACTGTACGTCCAGCATCAGAAGTTTGGAAAGGTAAGACCTTGTCTCATATAGTGTTTGATTTTTTAGGCAATGACATATGACGATGTCTGACATGATAATCAGGAGTATCTTACAAAACACCAGTTTAAACACATGTGCCAACTTCTCAGATATCCCATCTTTGTATTCTTGTTTGAAAAACGTTCTATACATTATATGCATTCTATACATTATAACCATGAAAATAAATAAATAGAAATTTGCACCTTCAATACACTTTAGTGTGCACAACTTATTTTGCAAGGCAGTTTTTTTTTGTTTTGTGTTTTAAGTCATTAATATATCAGGATATATATATATTTAATGATTAGTCTTTTCTATGAAATGTCAAAATATGACATTGAGGGAGGAAAATAATTCCTGCCTGATTTTGTGCAACACTGACTTTGATTTATTTTTTATATATTTCTAATATTTTTAAACAAAATTGCATAACTGCTTTTTGTTTAAAGAAATAATAATGAAAAAGGATGCATAACCATACAATTTCGTGACCGCAGAGACTTTAAGTCTGAAATATATAGAAATATGACTATATAAATGAAATGCATGTATTTGTAAGTAACTTTATGGGTCCGGACAAAAAAAAAGAGCATCAAGTCACCCTTAAACCAATATTTTAACATTTACAAATTCAAATTGATCCAATCATATAGAGAGTGACAGTCGGAAGAGGACCTACAAAATCAACCAAAATGTTTTAAATGTCAACTTAAAAAAAAAAAAAAAATTCTAAATTAACATTAAAGACAATTTAAATAGTTTATTTTAGAGTAAGAAGGAATGGCTTTTATCTCTATTCCTCTCTTGCGTCATGAGATAGTCACATGAATGAGTACATCAGATCCTGCGCTACAACATCTCTTTAACTTTAAACTGTCTTCATGCATATTCTGTTTTTAGGTCAGTAACTACATAAACATAGATTCCTTTTCCTTTTCATTAATGATATCTAACCACCAAACAAGAGTAGGTTATAGCCTACATACACGCGGCCAGCTGTCTCAAAATAATTTCCACTCTCTTGTCTGTCCACGTGCAGTGGAAAATGCTACATCACAGACACATGACCACAAAAGGTTCTGTTTGTTTTCTCTCTTATTGAATGTGTTAGGCATGTATTTTTGTCATTCTTTAGACATTGATATGAGTCATATGTCTTCAGTCAGACCGGTGTTGGATCAAAAACATCTTGCTGGAGCAATGGCTTGTCATTAATTCATTATTCACTTCCTCTGTCTGAAGCTTCTTTGTGATATGGAAGTAGGCAAATTATGAGCACACAGCACAGCTATATGTCTTTCGCCTCAGGCAACAACAGAAATTCAAATTGGGATAAAACTTTAATGCTGCCATTCATTCATGCAGGTTTTTCTCACATCAGGAGCACATGAACGTTGTAAGGTTATAGCTTAGTTTCTACAACCCAATAGCAAAATGCAAAGTATCTTGTCAACCATAACACTAGATTTCCATGACTAAAAATAATCTTGGTGTTTGTGCTTTGTGAGGCTTCTTTAGCGGCTGATGATAAACTCATGGCTGAATCACAGGATCGTGCTGCTGTGAGATTTGCATTGTGCTGAAAATGTATATTCTGCACAAGCACTGTCTTTCCCCGGCATCATGAACACATGGTTGCACTTTTGGGGGACCTAAAACCTGATTCCCTTCATTGATGTAAGGAGGTTTTTGTTTGGTAATGAAGGTTTGGATAGTTTTGCTAGAGGCTGGAATCAATGTAACACGTGACTGTAGGCTTGCGAATCACACTGTCAACAAGATTTGGAAACACAAGGACAAGAAAAAAATATATGAAAGTGCATGTACCGTGTTTGACAACTCTGTGGAAGGTGTGCAAGGTAAAACATGAGACAAATCAAGTCAAGTCACCTACTTTACCGTTTTATACAATACAGATTGTTTCAAAGCAGCTTTACAGTGATAACAGGCAAATGATTCAATGATGCAAACAGAGTTCATTTCGATTATCTTAAAGAAAAGTGTCATCGTTCAGCCAAAGTTAGTTCAGAGTTGATTCAGTTCTGTTGTAAAATATAAAGAATCAATTATTAAATAATTATCATCTATAAAGCAGTTCTGCAGAAAAACAGTGTTGTCGTCCAGCTCAGTTCTCATACCATAGTGTCACTGCAGTCAAATCAATAATATTGTTAAGACCAAACAAATCTATTGCTTTTTTCTTTTTTAGTACTATCAATTATGTTATTTTTTTTCCCTTACCCTGTTATTAGAGAGCTGTTTGTATTGTGTGCCCAACATTAGCATGAGCACGAGCACAGGCATGAATTAACATTTTCTCTATTTTCTGAACTTGAGGTTTATCCATAGTAGTCAGGTTTCAATATTTCACACACTACATTTGTAGGAACGGCATAAAGGGTTTTAATTTCATATTTGAGGTCAATAACATTGCCAAATACGGCATGCAACAACCACAGAACCTGTTTTAATGCTAGTCCTTATATGGATGTAGATCTCTTTTACAACTTAATAGTGTCTCTTTGTCACTCTAACTAACACATTTCTGTTTGACATTTTCAAACTGTTTGTTTCAGACAGAGACTAAGCATCATTTAAATATTTGTGCTCCTGAACAAAGCACATGCATATTAATTGAGCACCGAGGCGGCTTATGCTTGATGTCGCTAAACAACTTGCTACAACATTTTAACACTGCATTGTTTCTCACCCTACACCTCAGTCGAGGTGTAAAATCACCCCAAAAACTGACCACTTTTATTACACAAAGTAGAACTAAACCCTTTCAATTGCAATTTCATATCACATTTGATCTGGAATGAGACATATATTGTGACAGGCCAAACAGTTTACAATCCTTAGATTTGTTTGTGTATGGAGTCAAAGTATCAATACCTGTCAAAGATATCTTTTGCCTGGCCCACATTGGCCTTTGCTCTTACTTTTACTACAGCTCAAGGATCTTTTAGAGCCAAACCAAATACATACTGTACAATAAATGGAAAACACTAATGAATACATCGATGGTAGTTTACACATTTCTGATCCTTCCCAAACAGTACGATCTGTATGCTCTTCTGGGCTTTGTTCTTTGCAAATTGCCTTGCATGCAGCAGTATTGTATAAGGCAGGTTTTTATTAAATAAGTATATAGTCAGCTTCAGAATGAAGAGCGGCACTGTGTTCATTTCCACGCATGCAGATTCAAATACTTCTAATACAGTGTTTTCAGGAGAACTAAGTTCACAGTAAATGCACAAACTCTAAGTTTACAGAATTTCACCAAAATTCTGCCAAAATAAAAGCTTGAGTATTTGTCATGTTAAAAGCCTGAGGGTTGGAATTTGAGACATAAATATTTATATTGCATGTAAGCTCTCTGTTGACTGTCACTATTAACCCCTTACACACTGACAGCATTTTTAATGATTTCATGTGATTTCAAGTGGCATACTTACAATGGCTTATAACTCTGAAGATAAAAATAAAACATTTTATCAAGTGCATGGACTCATTTGATTGAAAACCTTTCAAAATTTGAAGAAAACTTGCTTTCTTTATACACAGCTCACTGTGCATGTCAGAGAGAGAAAGAGATGCAGAAGCGCTGATTTACTGACATTACAGACATGACATTACTGATTTGTGAAATTACAGTCTGAAAGAAAGATTTCAAATTATGTTCTGCATTAAGCTTATGTCAAATTATGCACAATACTTGCAATTATGAGCTGAAATTCAGGCCCTGAAAAGATCCAATACTTGGCGCCCAGGTATCGATACGATATCCCCATGCAAAATATTGCAATAGAACGCTGTATAGATTTACAAACTTTTCCAAAAGTTTGGAAACCCCTGGTATGATAGCAATATGTCAGTCCTTTAGCTCTTTTTTTTTAATACTCAAAGACACAAAGTGGAAAATTTGTTTTACCACTGTCTTGTTCTCTCTTTTTAACTCTGGTCTGCTACTTTTATTGGTATGTGGGAAGGCAATTGCTCACTCACACTTTGTGCAGTGAATAGAGTTATTTTTTCTCTCGTCATCTCTAAGCAAGTCACTGACTGAGCATCAGTCATACTGTTTTAAAAGAGCTTTAAAAGAGATCATTTTTCAACTGTACTTTACCTTTATATTAGTAAGTGGACCACGATGGGAGCAAACTATTAATCAAATCCAAATGTTCTGAAATGTTCATGTTTATTTCCAATTTCATGAATGGAAATGCATGTGGCAGAATAGGGAAACCATCTCTCAGACAGCGTGCACATATAGCGAAATGAGTTCTATTTCGTTGCTTATTTTCGCTTCAACGGTATAAAATCACTTGTTTTTAAATCGCAATGCTTAAAAACGCATGCAAACGATAAGCTTTCGTGACCAGCACAGCAACGCCACGTGAATTTAACCGCGATAGACACAGTACTCCATTCACACCATGTCGTAATTACCGTAATCTCGAGCTTAGTCTATTCGGAGCTGTTCACGTCCTCGGACTGGGAATTATGCGTTTCTATCACGTAGTACAAGTAGGAGCTCTCAGAAAATTACCATCTCAAAAGCTGTAATTACAAGCTCTACGAGGACGTGAACGCTTTTTACCAGTTGAAATCTCGCAATTATGGTGATTTCGACATGGTGTGAATGCACCCATAGTCCAAAACCTCTACCGGTTGATACATTTCTACCCGTTAATCGTGTCTATCGGTATATCGCCCAACCCTATGTGAGAATATCTTTTTGGTAACAGGTGAATATTTTCTGAAGGAGTCATTCATTTTGATGCGCAGTGTTGGGGATCAAGTTAATGTTTTATTTATGAAAATATATATACAAGTTTGAACTTTAAAGTTACTGTATCATTCCCATCTTACTGTGACATTGGCAACATATTAACAAGATGGAATCACTCTGTGCAGTGTCTGTATGTATATCTATCAGCAGATCTGTTAACTTTTACTGTTTTATATGTTTATGCTTTGCAAGC